TCCAATGCGTTTAAATTCCAATCCCCGTACTTTTCATGCACAAGCGTGCACATTTATTTATTTTTAAAGCATGCCGGGTAGAAAGAGACAAAGATCTCCTGCATAGCCTCAACATATCGTTGGAGAAAGTCAGAACCTGGAGCTTTTCAGCTCTTTTTTACAGATGTCCAGTATTGGGCGCGTGTTAGCGAGCACCTATTGAAAGCCGGTACAGCACAGGACGAGGTGGGTGGCCAGAACCACGCCCATCCTGCTTTGTCTCCTCAGTGTCGATATTTACACTATTCCACCAGGTACTTATTTGGGACTGACTCAACATAGGTAAGGCCCATGACAGGTTCGGATAATCGTCACTGGCGTCGGTGGCTGTGAACAGGAATCGAACTCGGGTCGCCGGGTTCGTAGTGCAGCACACACAGACGCTCACACCTGCTCATGAAATGTATTCATCCCCCCCCCCCCCCAGCATGCAGTGCCAGCTCTCGCTCCACTCACTGATACACTTCTCGTGTTCGGCGGCAGCGGCTCATGTATTATTCACCATCCTCCTCGGGTATTCCCACCCCCCCCCCGCCACACCAACGCGCTGCATCGACAAAGGTAGCCGAGGCAGGAGGCTGTTATGGGGATTGGTGATGGAGAAACTTGTAATTCGATGGTTGAGCGGTGGTGGTAATGCATGGGACGACTCCTGTGGCTGGGACCATGCGAGATGGTGCCGAATGGCCATGATCCACGCACGGTGTGTAGGAATGTGCAGGACGCCGTGTGCCGAGTAATGAGACGGACGTCGAGGTTGGTGGTGGTGGTGGTTGCCGAGTAGCCTACAAGGTGGATGATGATGGTAATTCTGTACGATTGGCAGTGAATCAGTGGCGGAGCGTGAGTTGGCATAGGCCCTGGTGCAAGTCGTGAAATGGGGGGGGAGGGGGGGGGATACTCCCCATAACACCCTTTCCTCTTCCCCTACTAGCCACCTCATGGGCCCAGCCTACCAGTTAACCCGGGTGCCTTTGCACCGACTGCTACACTCGATAGCAAGGGTGTAGAAGTGAGGGCCCCTTTGGCTGGATAGTGACGTGGCGATCTAGTGCGCAGGTGATGCAACTGCACCCGATGCCCACGGGCCTGAAGAGGAAGGAAGGGCAGCAACTGGGCTGCGAAGAGAGGAGGGGGGTGGATGGGTGGCATTTCATTTATCGCAGCAGGGACCCATTCCAACCACGCTGCGGTAGACACGCGGTAGGGGTCGATGGTTTTGCGTGGTCCAGATATCGACTGGGTGGTAAAGGGTCTTCCCAACACTGTGGATTGTGGGGGGCCCTGTGTGCTTTCGATGGGGGGCACGGCCAGGGGAGGGTTGGCGATGGGGGATACCTGGCATCTGGCGTTTGATGAGACTCCATCCGACCTGCCACGGAGGGCGGCTTTCAAAAATCGGAGTCCTTGTTGTCTCATTTGGCAGGCGGGGTTAACCACATTTCAGCGTTTTTAATAATGTATCGGACAGAGGCACGGCTCCTCGGCGCTGCGAGGATTATACAAAACCCACCAATTCAACAGAAGCCCTCGGCTCGGGCCAGATGCCATATTTATATGCTAATGACCGCGGTGCATTTTATATTTTTTTTGAAGACGCGTTCTTTCTGCAACCACAATAACCTCGAGTCGCGTCCCATTAGCTCCGTAAATAGCAAATCTTGATTTATGGCAATGCTGAAAAGAGAAAATATCCCCATGTTTCACCACTCCATCATTTATGCTCTATTATGTTCAGTAATTGCTTTTTTTTCTGTCCACAATTTACCCACGGCAAAGGGGGGCCTTGGATTCGGAGCAAACCCTTTTTGGGGGAGGAGGAGGAGGGGGTGGCGGACAGCAATATGAACTCGCTCGGCGTGAGCATTCAACCCGGGCAGCAGACGTTTGTGCCACATTTTGATTAAAATACTTTTTTTTTGGGAAGGGCTGGTGGGGGGTGGATGGGGCCGGTGGTCTTGCGCGGGAAGATTGCAGTCCTCCTCCCGCCGCAGACGGACCCGGCCGCGCGGGCCGGCTGGCTGGCCGCGTGGCTTGATTTATAAACTTCATATCGCACCGAGCAGACAGCCGCGGGTGCGACAACCCAGAAACGGGGCAATGATTGCTTCACGCACCTCCTTCCCCTTGCTGCTCTCGCCCGCCGCTGACAGATGGTGGATGGCTCCCAATCTCTTCCATAATTTCCCTCCCGCAGCACCCGAGCCTGTTTAGTTTGATTGTTTTATTGCCCAATAACTGTTGCGCTGATCGCTTTATTGCCGAACCCTCGGATTAATCATTGGCTCCCCCATTAAGTAATAATTAAACTGATAATTAGAATTAGCGGGTGATACCTTTGCGTTTAGCCGGCTTAAGTTATTCTTTTTGATTTGTGTGCGTGTTTTCATCAGCAGATACAGATACGGGCCGCCTGGTATCATAAAGCCCCGTGTGCGTGATCGAACGCCTTATCTCACCGCTCAAATACAATAAATCAAAGAACGCGCGACGCGGGTTGGTGACATCATTTTCGCTCCGAAGGCCGTTTGCTACGGAGACATCGCTGATTGTCAGGCCCCAACCTCCCTCGCGCGTCTGTCATTAGCCGTGCAAGACACACAGGTGCCTCGTTAGGAAAAGTTTCGTTGTGGGCTTGAGGCAGGGCACGCGCCAGGAGAGATGCTGGCGGGTGGTCAAGGCTAAAAGTGAGAGTGGCAGCCAAATGTTGTAAAACGAGAGGACGTCAACGGCAGGGATGAAACGATTACATCAGTTGGTGTGCAGGTGCTAGATGGATTGCAATGCAGCATCGCAGGGCCGTGAGATATGGTGACGGCTGGAGAGGCCTTCATCCGGCTGTGGATTTATCATGGCTGCTGATGTGCCTTGCTGCATTCTTTTTCATGTTTAGGTGCCTTGGCACATCATCTCGAGTTGGTGTAGCGCAAGGTCTTCTCTGCACTGTGTAACAATTTTCCGTGGACATACTGAGTGAATATTCCGCCCAACTTTCCACTACCAAGCCTTTACATCACAATATCACTTGTCAAATAAAGTTAGGCGAGGCAACACATTTTCGCCGCCCGAGACAGTCTCATTATATGTTGAAGAAAAAATACGTGTCACTTTGGCAAATACATTGGTGTGAAAATCGGCAAAATGCTGCATTCTTTTTCATGTTTAGGTATAAAATTGTGTCTTTTTACACATTTCATGAAACCCACCACTTTCATTAACACTGCCTTGAACCATCAATAGAAGCTTTTCTGCGATGCTGAAGGTTCGCAACATGTACGCTCTTTTGACTTTTTCTCCACAAATGGTTCAAGAGGTGAGACACTGAAAGAACACATGACGGCAGCCCTGCAGTAATTGCCACTGCGGTGATGTGTTCGGTATATACATATTTATAGCTTTATTTTGGTGATTTCGAAAACATTTTGGTTTAGCCATATTTGTTTGTTGTAGTACAGAATTAGACTGATAACTTTAATCTAAATTGTCTTATGGTTGTTATTGTTTGACTTGCATCCCACTGGGATTTTTGCACGCAGCATTGATATACGGTGTTTTTTCTGGAAGACTTTGCTGTTTTCTCCTGTATTTTTCTGTTGCGCGTCGTCACGTTAAGATGTTTCTTGTTCATGTTTTTGTTTGTTGCGGTTGCACCCGATTCAAGAACCGAATGGCTCACAGGGCTATACCTACAAAATTAACTGAACTGTACAATTAGAAGTAACGTCACAGCAGCATCACGAGAGTGCGCTCCTGCCTGTTCTTTCCCAAGGTTGTTTTTCTTTCGTGAGGCATTGACATTGTCAGAAAGCCCACGTAACAGATTTGGTACGGGCCACGGACCAAATCACCCTGAATGCACTCCATCTCTTAATAACAGGTGATATAGCCACAGGCACAAGGTGGCACTACATAAATGGGTTTTCTCTTTGCACACCCAGGTTTTTTTCCTTCCATTGCCACTCCTCAATAGAATTAACCAAACATCCCAATGTAAAACCCTCCTGAAAAAAAGTCCCTAGGCTCGGTGAAGCTTTGCTGGATAAACAAGGGGCATTAACGTATTAGTAGCAGCATCTACCAGACGGGGAGCAGTGGCGCAGTGGTTATTTCACCGTGCTATGAATCTAGGGACCTCAATTTGGTTGCCGGCAGAGGTCGCAAACGGGTACCCGTACGCTACCCGTACCCTACCCGAAATGAGTGACAAACGGTTACTCACCGGTGACTCACGGCCTACCCGTACCCGGCCGCACCAGGGTCGCAAACGGGTATCGGGTAGGGTACGGGTATCGGGTACCCGGTTGCGACCTCTGGTTGCCGGTCATGGCTAACAACAGTGGCAAGTTTTTTTTTTTACCAACCCTAAGGCTCGCCAACACCAACCCACCACATTGACTAACATGGTGAAGTATTGGGCAAAGCCAAACTAAATACCTCGTCTGGTATCCATGGAGGTCGTGGGTTCGATTCCGACCCTTGACGCCTGCTGTATATTTGGAGTTTTTTACGATGTTCTCCCTGTGGTTGCATGGATTTTCCTCCGGGTCCTCCAGTTTTCCCCTCCACCATTTAGATAAATTTCCACACGACGAACCACTCCATCGAGGAATCATTTGTGACCAGGTCGCTTCTTTAAAAAAGAGCTATATAGCTCAGTGGCCTTTACTTGGTAAAATAAAAAATCAAATAGTTTAGTTTCGAGAGGGTGCGGTGAATTCGCCAATAATTAGAATTATTTAGAATCGACAAAGATTCACCGAGTTCTTGTGTTTTTTTGGCTACAACCTTCCTTGACCCCCCCCCCCCACCCCATGTGTCCCACGTTGCCGGGATGCACGACTCATCGCTGGGCCCCCCCTCGTGTGCGTTGTGCGCGAAGCCGATTCGTAAAAATAAAAACCACGCGCGGCGCAACCCGACGTTCGCGTTTCAACAGCAGCCATGCACAACAACAAAGCAGCCACTCTCCACAGACATTTATTATTAATTGTTTGTTTTTTAGTATGAAAAGAGAACATTTTTTTTTTCAAGGAGAAAGAATATGCGAGATTGCAGTGTGTTTTCTAAGATCGTGCCGGTTTCATAAATAAAAACGAGGAAGGTTCAGACACCGGGGTGGAGAGGGGGGGGGGGGTAGCGGCGGCAGCTGATGCACGAACACGGAGAGGGGCAGACTCGCTCCTCCGGGGGGGGGGGGTACAAGCCAGACTCGGGGATGGGATGGCAGCCAGAGTCACCAAGACTTTACCGTACGCATTCACCGAAGCTTAAATGACACCTGCACAGCGACGTGTTTGCATTTTTATAACAGACCATTTAACGATTGCAGCTTTTTAAATTGTAATTTTTTTGTTACGACGATCATTTTTCAACGCGTGCGCGTCTGTGTGCGTGTGTGCGTGCGTGCGTGTTTGTGTTTTATTGAACGTCAGACACGTTACATGAGCAGTCACGAGGTAATATTTGAGTGGTTTAGAAATTATTAGCCTTAGCGTGATGTACACAATGTATAATCCTCGGTTCCACCATAACAATGACTATATGGCCCCTTGCACCCCCTCCCTCCCCCCATGCTTTTGGAAAAGCCAACGTCCATGTTACGAACAAATTTGGAAAAAACTGCCAAAAGGTGATTGGTTTTCATTTTGCGAAACCATGGGGTCCTCTGTAGTCAAGTTAAGGGTGTAACAGAGTGCACTGGAAGCTTTGTAATGTTTTAAACCTATAAATGGATTAGCATCGACATTACCAGTAATACCAACCATCAAGCTTTTGCCACAACCTATACAAAACAGGTAGAGGACGTATCATCTTGTGCTTTATACTGAACATTTACACACGGAAAATAACATTAAAATAAAAGAGCAAAAAAAAAGTTCAAACTAATCAATAACGTTCATTAACATTGGTCCTACATAAATCATTCAAACCACAGTCTAGGCATAAGTACGTCTGTTTAATAAAGAGACAAAGTAAAACATGAAATATGAGCAATCTAAACAGCGGCACCACTAGGAGACGTACATCCTTCGTAGCAGGCAACAAACGCAGCTTCAAAACAAATTATATATTTAAAATAACAGTAAAAATATTAGAACACTCTTTGTGTTGTGTGCTTCTTAAAACCAACTTATCAGCAGTCTAGTAACCATCGTTTAAAACTCAACTGCCTCTCAGACAAAGGGATCTTCCCAACATATCCCTCGTCATCTCCCAGAAGAAACAAAAACAAATCATTCAATAGTTTTCAAAGATTAAGTAGCAAAAGTCAATATCAAAGATACAATAAACATTACTTGTTAGTCTTTGTGCTTTTAAACCAATTTTATTTCACAGTGCATTTTCTAGTCTGCAGAGCTTTCAGACTTGTTTGAAAGAAACCAACTTTAATCGAAAAAACACTACAAAAGTACTGTAATTTCAAGAACAAAAACGAGTGGGACATAAGGGAACGGGTGACTATTCTTCGTATTAAAACAACACCGAGAGTTATAATAGTAAATTACAGTCAAATTTACACAGCGCGGGATGTTGCTCCAACAACCTCTCTTTCTCTCCGTATGGCGATCATTTCCAGAGACTGCGCTCCGGCAGAGTGAGACGCGGCGGCGGTGGTGGTTGGGGGGCGGGGGGGGGCGAGGGGGCGGGGGGTTAGGCCCAGGCGTGAGGGCCCGCCGTACCGCGACGGAGGGACGGTGGGTTAACACCGTGGCCCAACTTGTGCTTTACTCCATCAGCTCCACCACCTTCAGTGGCAAAAACAAGAAGTGGGTGCGCACCTGAATAACGATGAAATGATACCAAGGCAACAAAAAAAAACGTAGATTTGTTACACGGCTTATATATAAATTACAACATTATAACCGACCGCCTTTTGTGAATTCGCTGCTGGATGAAGGCCTCCCATTGTGGTGTCAGTCACGAGGATTGTTGGAATATACTTCACCACGCTGGTCATTGTGGATTGGTGAAGTCGGGACCCAGAAACGGTTGAGATGTGACTCACGACTGATTTTATCCGTGGCTGGGAATCCAACTAACACAGTGTACTAACACCTTTGCGCCACCACTCCCATAACATTTATATTTAGGAGAATAAATGGATGGAAAGAGTTATTACTATTTTTTTTGTTTTTATGTTATCTAAATAATAATGCTGGTTACCCTGGCAAGGCCTGACTGAGACTAAACAGTATTTTTTTACGAGGGTCCCACATTCGGATGTTTGGTTATTACCGTTAATAATTACACTGGTCAACAGAAAAAAAAAATTTGGCCTGGACTTTTGCAGCTGTTTTAGACTAATTTCAGGGTGCTGATGCCAAATCTGATCTCAGATTTGCTCTATCACATCTCATTTTATGCTATCGGCATACCCCATTTTCATTGATTTTACCCGAAATTAACTCTGTCACTTATGATTGCAAGTTGTTGTGAGTCAGTGACTGCTTTAGTGTTAAAATATGGTGCTGTATTTCTAGGATGGTGTGTTTATAATATCATTTTATGTAGATATCCACATTTATTTAATATTTTTATTCTGCAGTTTTTATTGAAAATGCAATATTTGATATCTCAAAAACCTGATGTGATAGACAAAAACTGATGCCAGATTTGAAATCAGCATCCCAAAATTACCTTGAAACCGTTGGAATACCTTATGGCAGCAAAAGTGCGTTGACCAGTGTAATGAGTGGAATGATCCATAGTAAATTATAAAATAATGATGAGTGTTTGGAATGATCCATAGTCAATAGGAAAATATATTATTTATATAATTCAGGCATCAAATGGTTTCAAACTTAACACAAGTGCTTTGAAAATTAACTTAGTCAACTTTCAATTAAGTTGTTGAACAATTTATTCGTCAAGCCAACCTTAAAAATGTCCAATGAAAAGGCATAAACCAAAATATGTTCATCAACAGGGTGGAGCGGTGGTGCAGAGGAACAGTGGCGAATACACTCTGCTAAGAAGAACCCGTCGTCCCGAATCAAAATCAGTGGTGAGTGGACGCTCCCCTTCGCGAACCCGTGCTGACCGGCAAGTATCGTCCAACAACAACAACGGCCGACACGCCGTGGGGAGACCTTCTTGCAGCAGCAGATTGGCAAAAGGACTGTAAAATATTACAATTTACCTCGTTGATATCTCAATAAACCAAATACAAAAAAATCCCGTCGAACATCATGGGGGCTGCCCTCACCGGCCAAGGTGTGGGGCCTAACACTTGATGCCGGCGCTGACGGTCCCCGTGGGGTCACCTGACCTCCGCTCGGGGCCCAAGCTCGCGGCTCCGGCTCCGGGCAGCGCTCGGCTCCCTGTCGCCGGGAAGTGCGGGCGGCTGTACAGCGCAAAATCTGGAGGGGGGGGGGGGGGGGTCAGTTTTATTCACACATACCAGAGAGAGCTAGAGAACGACGCAACCATGATTAGTCATCAGCGAGCCATCAGGCAAGGCCTCCCAAGTTTTTGTTAGATTTACAGCGGTCGCCAGACACTAAAACTGATTGACTCTTTCACCAGGGGCATGAACATCATTCTCATGGCCGTCCTTAAGCTTCAGCAAAACCTTTCCACGATGGACGCCCTGTGCACAATGGGGGCGCGCTGAGAAATCTACCAGACACGTCGAGAGAATTCGTTATCCCATTGCTCACACCGGAGATTAAATGGAGGGAAAATTCGTCCGGAATTGTGTGTAAGCTTTATTATGGAGACATTCATCTTTCTTTCTTTCTCCCCCATCTTCCTCTTTCTTCGTCTTCTCGAAAGTGTTATTCATCTTCCTTTCAAGTGAAAAGAAGGCGAGCAAACGGGAGTGTGACTGTAAGCGACGTGACAGTCTGACAGGTGCCAGAGAGACGCACTGACATTTTACGCACCAATGGGTTTTATGCCACAGAGTCTCACAGCACCCCTTCCTGTTTATTGGGCTCCACCTGCCCATGTTTTTGGCACAGGGTCTTGAAAATTATATTTTCAAAAACGTTATAATTTTTTGGTGAAATGGGAAAAAAATTACGACTCCTCTTTTTTTGTTGAACATGTGTTCCTCATGCAAAGCTGTGTACAGCGGGCAAAGTGTGAGCCTCTTCCTAATATGCAAGGGCGTATGCGTGCGCACGTACACACATGCGCACGTGCGCACTCATAAAAGTGTAGTCTGTTGCAGACATATGGGGAGCCGCAAATGTGTGTTCGTTGCCACTGCTGCAGTTATAGCTGCCACGGGGGACGTTTATAAAATGAAATGAAAACATTAATGGAAATCAAATTCAAGGTTACTGGCAAGGAGACACCGTAGGCACACCTGCCGCTTGTGTCACCTTCACGGGGCCGGAACAACAAGCGGCCCTTTTTCAAAATGCTCCACGGCAATTCGTTTTTCCAAAAAAGCAACGGCAGCATTGTTTTGTAACATTCCATGCGTTTTGGCAGGGGTGGGTAGGGGTGGGGGTGGGGAGCAGTCAGTACCTTCCGTATAGGACGCAACCTGCTGCTGCTGCTGCTGCTGCACGCCAGCTCCGGGCTGCACAACGCCCATCGCGGCCGCCTGCGCGGCCTGCGCCGCGGCATGCTGGTGGTGCAGCTTGAGTCCCGCGCTCTCCGCGGCGGCCGCAATCGCGTCGGCGAAGTCAGCGTCCACGCGGAACGAGCTCTCGCTCGAGCCTCCGTCGCTGGAGGCCCCGCCGGTGCCCGCGCCGCCCGCCCCGCCGGCCCCGCCGACCCCGCCGCCATCACTCGAGCCGCCGCCGTCTTCATCGTCGCCGTCGCCCTCAGACGCGGAGCCCCAGCCGTTGAGCATGGACCCCGCCAGGGAGCTCTCGGGGTCGCCCAGGCTGGACACCGACGTGTGTTCCAGGCTCAGCAGCAGCTTTTTGGCATCAAATCGGGCGGCCCCAACGGTGCCCGCCTTGGGGTACACGCTTACGGTCCCTGCCGACACCACTGCCACGGCCGCCTCCTCCTCCTCCTCTTCCTCCTCTTCCGCCGGTTCCGTTTCCAGATCGGAGGGCATCGGGCCCGTGATGTATCCATACAGGCATGGCGGTGAAGGGGACCTTGCGGAGAGCAGTGGGCGTCCTGGGTAGTGCCTACAAAACAACAAAAAGTTGCAGGAAAAACTGAAAAAAAGCATAAGAATGAAGGAATACAAGTGTCGCTTTTTTATTTTCTCCCAGCATGCCAGTGTGAATATATATCTATGGGACCTATATATGTATACCAGTATCCAAGTATGAAAAATAAGAATAGATTTTACCATTTATGGCAATAAAACAGGTGTTAAGAGGTTGATTCCTTGTAAAAAAGTATCTATTTGGTGTTAGAACATCTTAACACCTATTTCATTCTAGATTTGAAGCTTTCGTGACTGCAAAGATTCATACTCTTTGAGGATTTTTCGGTAAAGTCACGTAGCTAAAAAATCAAATCAAATAAATGAAAACAACTGAATTAAATCACGGCGTTTCGGGGCGCAGTGTGAAGACTGTTGTTGTTGTTTTGTCATGCTACCAGCTCACCGCGCGGCCCTCTCTAGCGCCGCCCTCTTTCTTCTGCCGGGCGGCTCGTGGCTGTGCGCCTGGATCATGGGCCTGCGCTCCTCGGGGCTGGCAGGCGAGCACGGGGCCGTCGACTGCAGGCTGTACGACGCGTGCGCGTACTGCTGGGGCCCACGCGCCTTCCCCTCATCAACCACCAAGTCGTCCTCTTCGTCCGCCTCCTCGTCATCCTCATCGTGCTCCTCCTCGTTCTGCTGCAGGTATTCGTACACCCGCTCGGGCGGGTACCCGCTACCTTCGTCCACTCTGAAATAGCGCCCCAAAAGGGGCAAAGGCGGCGCACGACCAGGATGCTCGTCAGTTTCGCCTCTTGATCGTGACCGCCTTTTGAAACCCGTCAACGTATAATCTCCATCAAGACAGCGTTGTTCAGATGCTTTGGATATGGGGAATGCGATGCCATTCCGACCGTTAGCAGCTGCAAACATTTCGAGTTTGTCACAGGGTGGGCGGACGCACGAAACGGCGGCGGAGAAGCAAGTTCCCCAGCGATAACAGTGTCCAGACCTGTTTCGTTAGCAAGCGCAAGCGTTGTAAAAATGATACTGCCACGTTCTAGCCACCCGTCGCCATTGTTTATTATGAGAAGCCACATGGAACCTGCATGAGGGGGAAACTTGAGAAATCTGAGAAAAACGAGGGCGGACACCAACCACCCTCCTGTCCTCAAATCAACCGAGCTCTGAACCGAACTTCACTTCAGATTACTTTCAAAGCTGTTCTGACTTTCGTTATTTTTTATTATTATTAAAGTCCAGCATTGCTCTTTCATGATTTTTTCTTCTCTATTTTTTTTTAAAACATCCTCACACAGGTCTTATTCACTGCTCACTTCACGTGTGTTCAAGCGTACACCAGGTCGACCCCGGCCTTACATGAGCCCCTGGAACGGTGTATAAAAATCAACACTGGGGAGACAAAGTTGGCCGGGCGTGGTGCTGGCCCACCCGCCCCTTCATGTGCTGTGCTGGCCTTAATAGGAGCAGCTTGCGAACCGCACTTGCCCCAACAGCCTGTTAAAGGCTACACGAAGGATATTTGCCTTTGTGTGCACCAGAAGCACTCAGCATCTCAAGCTAGCCTCGTTCTCCCCTAGGTGGACTCGGGGTCTAAATTTGAGTACTTCGAGCGGCGATGTGATCATACACGGGGGAGACAAAGACAGCTGTGCATTGATGGCGCTATCCACACCACTCGCTCGTATGCCGCGCCGGCCTTAACAGGTGCTAGCCAGCTGTACAAGCCACGGTATTCCACAGGGCAAAACAGGGGTTGGCGGGGTGGGGGGATCTTCATATTTGTCCGTGTATTTTCTCTCTTTCTCTCTCGTATACATTTTTCCCACTTGTATATTGCCCAAGTGAAAGCAAATGAGGTGTGAGAGCTGAAGCGAACTGGGCATTTCTCAACGAGCGAGATAGGAGCGAAGAGATCGTACTCCCAAGAAGCTTTCTTTTTAATTTGTGCGACTGTGTGGGGTTTTCACGGCCGTGCCGCGCGTGGTTATGCCGCACAGCTCTCTCCATGTGCTGGGTCCTTCTTCAAGAACCGAATGCAGATCATGAGAGCTGCCTTTAATTTACACAATCAGGATATGTATTTATCCTAGAGAAATCCGATGAGCTATGAAGCTCTTTAGAGGCGGGTCAAAGTTGCAATAATACAAAACCTCCCCGTCCCTTACTTTCCCCCAGTATGTGAATTATCTTTCCGCTTACCCTTTTCCACTCCCTGTATAAACCTTCATGTCCCCCCCCCCCGCCCCGCTCGTGGTGCCCACCTGGGTGGGGCAGTGAGCCCAGCTCTCCCCCCTTCACTCGGCCCTGTAGCATCAAACTCAGGGCTGCTGTTTGGGGAATTTCTGTTCCCCCCCTTCGTTCGGCGACCGACGCTTACTTCGTAACGGGCTCGCGTTCAGTTGTCACAAACACAATGAAAATAAATAACACAAAGAGACGATAGGATTGCAAGCTATGGGAAAGGTAATCGGTACAAAGTAATGGCCGAGTGGCCTGGTGGCCGCTTGGAGAGTCGCCGCGCTCACCGCTCGTGCTCTGCCTGAGCCGCTCGCCCCGCGCTGCCCAGCTCAGCCGGCGGGAGAGCGGGCGGGGGCGGGAGAGGCTCGGCAACTCCCGGCACCGCCTGCCTCCCCGTCTTGGGTGTCCGCGCGTTCTTCCTCTTCCCCGAGTGCGCTGCCGGAACAAGCAAACACACGCACGCACGTGCACGTACGACGCCATGTGACTTCCTCCGTTCGTCTGGCTGCGATTTCTCTTCTGCGATGTTTGCAGATTTCTGGATGGTCAGGAATAACTTTCGCCTGTGGCTGATTCTCCCAAAATGCACTTGATCTTGTTAGATCTTAAGAGCCAAGCAGCTTTGAGCCTGAACAGTGCTTTGATGGGTGACCGCACGCGCGCCGGGTTGCTGAAGGGCTACCTGCTCACCAGCTGAGCGCACTGCAGAAACATCCGTCGTTGTAGTGTATTTTCTATGCTCCCCGGTCTATGCTGCCCACCTTCATGAACCCACACTGACCAGCATGCTGAGGTATGGTCAAATAACCCCCATTACCTGTAAGGCATGGGGAGGTCCTCATTCAGCAGTGGATTGACCCAAACAGCCGTACATGTACATTAATAGTTTTAAATCAAGAGGTCTGATCATGGTACTCCTTAAAGTCTACATCATACCAACTTCACCTTCTCTGTTTAACACGTAAGCTTTCGCGACCAATATCATCCATAATAGAGGTTTTTGGGTTAGATTGCATAAATATCTAAATGTTGTGTCGTTAAAACCCACCACCACCCGACACAGCCAACTAGTAAGGGTTGTCACGTAAACAGAACATGCCAATTCGTCACTAGTACAGCACTAGTGTATAGTGTAGTGTATAGTAGTGTAGTGTATAGAGTAGTGTAGTGTATAGTGTAGTGTATAGTAGTGTAGTGTATAGTGTAGTATATAGTGTAGTGTATAGTGTAGTATACTAGTACAGCACCAGTGTGTAGTGTATAGTGTAGTGTATAGTGTAGTGTACTAGTGTAGTGTATAGTGTAGTATATAGTGTAGTGTATAGTGTAGTGTATAGTGTAGTATACTAGTACAGCACACTGGTGTGTAGTGTATAGAGTAGTGTATAGTGTAGTGTATAGTGTAGTATATAGTGTAGTGTATAGTGTAGTATACTAGTACAGCACACCGGTGTGTTGGAGAGCCGAGCCTCAACATTCACAATCCGAGTACGACGTTTTGCCAGTAATTACAACCAGCTTCATCAGGCGACAGCCAGATTTCTCCTCTACCTCACCCAAATGTAATTCATTAATCTAACTGAGCAGGACTTCCACTACTCGAATGAGGACCTTTATCCACTCCTCAACTCTTTCCAACGTGTCACCTTGTCATTGAAAACAATGCAATTTTCCCACCATCATCATCGTCGTCGTCGTCGTCGTCGTCAACAATGAAAGATGTATAAACTGGATATAGAGTCAATGTTTCCTTCTTCAAAGCTGAGGGCAGAGCTGGACAGCAGGAGATTGTGTTTGTTGATGAAGGTGAGGGGTAACCCACCTCAGCTAACCTCATCTAAATATCATTTGAATAAACATATACTTATTTTCTTGGTTCTTTCGGTAAAGTCACGTAGAATGGAAACAATAAAAATAATAAAATAAAACATAATAAAATTATTCTCACGACGTTTCGGCCACAACGCAAGCAGCCGGCATCAGGTGAAGACCAGGTCTGTCTGATGACGGCTGCTTGCGTTGTGGCCGAAACATCGTGAGAATTATTTTATTATGTTTTTTTTTATTATTTTTATTGTTTCCATTCTACGTGACTTTACCGAAAGAACCAAGAAGATGAATCCCTACAGTCACGAAAGCTTTAAATCGAAATTTATACACTTATTTATGAGGAAAGACTGATTTTTATCTAAATAATTATCTTTATCCTTTACCCACAATAACCTGCGGCTGTGCACACGGAGTTTCTAGACAGCGCTGATGGCTCCAGCCTCTGTAACACCTGGTCACATGACAGCATTGGTTAAACAGGCCTGCTCCTACTGATGAGACCCAACACATTGAACCAGAATTTTTTTCCTGCTTAAACAAATGCTGTTTTTAAAACATTAGTCCGGAAGACCTATTGGTTGATGGCGAAAATAAAAATATGCGGACTGACTTTTGTCCACGATTTCCTGTTTGACCTCAACGGAGTCATCGTTGTGACTCGTGAACGCTCGTGCGCAGTGTGGTGTTTGCAGGTAGAAGGAGGGAGGGAGTGGACTGGACGAAGAGGTGGCAGCTTGAGCCATGGACCTGACCTTGGAGAGAGAACTTCAGAGTGCGCAAAGAGAAACAACGAGACGCGAAGCTGTGCTGCTCACGCCCCGCGGCCACACGACGTTGGACGCGCAGCTCTCTCGGCCTCGTCCACGAAGCGGCCCACCTGCCTCCCGTCACCGCCGTCTCACCTGATGAGCTGCTGCGCTCGGAGCTGGCGTGGGAGCCCATGGTGCTCTGCTCAGGGGTGCTGTGGTGGGCGACCGCCTCCCCCCGGCCGTCCGTCATCGCGAGTTCTAAAAGTGAAGGTTGGCGAGAGAAAGGGGTGGTGGCGGCGGGGGGGGGGGGGTGAGATAGGGAGTGAGCGAGAGAAAGGGGGCCAGAAGCCAGCGGGTCAAGAGGTCGTGAGGGGTGATGGCTTTTTTAAAAGTCAGGCAGTGAGGTGGGGGACGGGCGGTGGGGGTGCGGGATGAAATCCGCGCACGGACTGCTGCAAGACAAAAGAGGTCTCTGGTTGTCGTTGGCAGTGAAGTGGTGAGGCTGGAGAGGGTACATATTTGCCTTCCTGTTAATGCCTACAAGAGTGGCTGGAAGGGGACATTACAGGCGGTGTTAATCCTAAAAGCAAATTATCAACCAGGCGGTTGTTGTTTTTTCTTCTTTCTTGTTCATAGGCCCATGTGGCAGCAAATCCCAGATCGACTTTGAGCCTTCAAGGACAAGTTAGGCCCTGTCACCGTCTGGTCCAAGTGTCTGCACGCTTTACCGTTAATCCGTGTTGTGCACACGCGCAAGCACGCATGCACGCACGCACGCAAAACACGCAAAACACGCGCGTACACAAGCTGCTTATGGTCCTAATGACCTTGCGAACCTTCAGTACTGAAGCATAATTCTACCAAGCTGAATTCCACAGGGCACATACCAAGGACTACAGAGACCCACAGCCGCGTGAGAAAAAAAATTACCAACAGATTGTTCAGACAAACGCGTTTTTAGGTTTGACATGCACAAATACTGGACGCATGTCTGCGCACAACTACACAGATGCGCAAAAGGAATCACACTGCCGTCAATATATGAACACTCGTGACAAAAAAAGTTGGAGCACACCGGCGTTGTATTTTGACAGGCGCGACTTTATTGACCGCAGCAGAGCTGATCAAGGTCACCATCCTGCCATTGTAGTGGGTGGCAGAATGTCAGACTTCAGGCTACGATCTCATCATTGCAGTCGAGACCTCTCACTCGTTGAATAAAAGGTCGAATCGGTGTACCCCAACTCGTGTCAAGTGAGCCAACGCATACCTGAACTCGTGCGTATGTTCGTGTCACAGTCTTATATATCTCCCCCAAAGGGAGGGTAAGCTAAGAAAGCGAAAAAGTAAAACGCATAATTTATTTCCACTCTAAAAGAGACTCACTTAGTTGCAATAACAGCACACAAACACTGCTTCTCGACGGCACTGTGCACACAAACCAACCGACAAAGCTGTCAGCACCCACGAACGTAAACAAACACGCCTAACCACCCCCCACACTAGCCCGCACGCGCGCTCACACACACGGAAGTCGCACTTCCACACCTTGCCGCCACTGAACTGCGCTCCCATTGTGAGCACGCGAACGCAGCCGGCACGGCGGTGGTTCCCAAGAGGGCCCGCTCTCGCGAGCAAGCGGGCGCCAGCCAGCCAGCCACACGCCACATGCTCCACGTCGGAAATCCTTCACACGCCACCCCCAGCATTGCCGCATTGCTCACTTGTGGCATCAGACTGACGAAGCTATTAAGAGGTGCACTGCGCCCTAACACTCTGGGGTTTGCCATTGTGAGGAGGCGCGCGATCTGTGTGTGTGTGGCATGATAAGCTGGGAGTTAGAGTTAATGAGTAACAATATGTGCCCATATCCAGGTGACATTCACACCTGTGGCTCAACCAGAGCTATAATAACATGTGTCCATTCGATACCGTTAAGTCAAAATTAAAGGCCCCTCACTCATCCCATCCTGATCTCAACGGACAGAGAGAACGGCCCATAAATGATCTGATTAACAATGACTGGTGTTCAGGAACAGAATAAATATCCAACGTTCGCTACAAGGGCTCCGGTGAGCCGATGTACCGAATTCCGGTGCTGCGGTGGAACAGGTCACCTTGGCAAGTGGCAATTCTCCGCGTGGGAGCAGAAGATACAGCTGCTCTGTCCCTCTCCGCCACTGCTGCTACTGCATGAGAAAGAAAAAAATTCCACCGCTCCGGGCCGCCCCATGGAGGGGAGATTTCAGGCGGAGAGTTTAACCGTTCGAGAGGCAAAAGTTGTGACCCTCCGTGAAATTTAGAAATTGAGTCATGGCTACCGATTCTGTAAATTCTCTACGAGAATCATTAAAACGTGGCTCACCTTACACAGACGCTGCTAAATATCAGTATTGCCTGGTGTCGCGCTGTACACTTGTACAACAGCAACTTAGTGGTGGAGGTTGTTGGATCACACAGAGATGGGATCGTCGTGCATGAGGTGCACACTTGCTGGGTAACGTGAAATAAGTTGATGCCTGCAAGAGGGAGTGTAGTCAGGGGGTTTATTAACCCATCTGTGTAGCCTCTTAATGTTATCACCACGTATGCATTGGCTTTCTCTGGGAACTTATATTTCCTTCACTCACAAAATGACCCAAAAACCAATTAGCCAAATATTTAGAGCAATAACCCTCTGGATTCTTGGACAGCCAGTGAGGATTTATTGATTAATTGAAAAATCTAAGTCGTGTTTGTGTAAAGGAGCATGGAGCGCTACTCATTTCTTATTTACAGCCCAGAGCCTGCAATGCGAATTCCATATTGCTATGATGGGTAAGTTCATCAGTTTTGACCCCCATTGTTGCTGTCCCCCAAAGTTCTACTTATTTTATGTGCCTATAATGGAGGAAAGATGGGCTGAGCTCACTCCCAACTGGGATTTCTTACGGTGAGGCATGTGCCCCAATCACAGAGCCACCCAGCTGGTGGGTAACTACTATTCCTAGAATGCTACCAATGACCGAATCACCTGGAATGCACCCTGTCCGTTGAGGCCTTGCAAGCTAAACAAGGTTGATTGTGCTTGGATATACAGGCATAAACACAGACGTTGTTATAGGCTGCTGTGGGGCTCAGCTGGCAACAGAGGGCAGTGCAGCAATACCGTTGCTGTACTGTACTTCTGTGGTCCGACGTCTACGCTGCCCATTTTCACCAACCCAAAGTGACTCGCGTGCAGTGTGCTCGGATGACCACCCCGCCCCCAGAGGCCCGCACGGCTTGGGGAAGACTCTCATCCAGCAGTTGATTGACGCAACGATAAGCACAGTCACAGTTCCCTCACCGTTGTTGAGCTTGGTGACTTCGATCATGTGGTTCTTGGTGCCAGGCAAGCCGTCCGCGCGTGGCAAGAAGGGCTGCTTGTGCGTGCGCTTGTCCGTGACGCGCGCCGTGCTGCTCATGTTGTTGCACAGCGCCGCCTGCGCCGGCGGGGAGGCCGCATACGCCGACGTCTTGCCCAGGACCTGTAGAGTGAATGACAATCGCAACGCAAAAGCCAGACCGTCAGTCAACAGTCGAGTGGGCGAGTGGAGAGATTGGCAGCTGGGTTGGCAGGGTGGGCGAGTGTATGCAGCTGTCCTACTGGACATCTCTGAAAACCACTGAGCATCTGTGAAAAAGAGATCCATAGATCATCAGATTTTTTCTAAGGTTAATAAAGATTCTGATTCCGATATTGTTTTTTCCCCAAATGTTATCCCAATTACACGGCATCGCCCAATGAGATTAAATATCGGATCTCTCGCAAAGCAGTCCCTTCATGTTCCAGAACGACCCACGGAAGTGGATATTACAGAACTGCTTCTGAGATCCCTGCAAGTGACCTCTGGTTCACGCAACAGTGGGGCTGCACTTCCCCACCAAGGCTGGCCAAATTACAATTCGCTCAGTGGGCCTTATCTGGTAAGATACAAATAGTTAAAAAAATGTGTCATTACATTTTACACTGGCTGAAATGTAAGCTTCTCAAACTTGAAACACGAGAAAAAAAGATGCAATTGTAAAACGACGACAAAAACCGAGCCGATTTTGCACGTAGCACGAGTGCGAACGAACAATAAAAACAAAACGCGCAGATGTGCGAGCTCCACTGGGGTGGCCTCTGGCACCTGGCACTCTTTGATTCTGGGCCCCGGGAAGTTCTGGGTGCCGCTCAGCTGGTGGGCTGGCTCCACCTCGCGATACACGGGTGTCTCCGGGGTGCGAGGTCGGTGCAGGTTCGTCTCCTTCTGCTCCAGCTGGTTCCGGAACGGACTCAGATGGTCGGCTTAACGGCACGAGCAGCGATGACGTCGATGTGGGAAGAGAGGGTGGACGAGGAGGTAGGGGGGGGGGGAGAAGGTGTTTAGTCAGCACTAAAGAAATGTCAGCCACTTGATGGTAAGTAATGGGGCCCTCTCTGCCATTATCTCTTTTTCATTACCGCTTTGTACAATGTTTGCCAATTTTTGGGGGTAATAATTTATGACCGTGTCCCAGCAAGGCCCCCAGGAAATGTAAATGTTGCTCTTGTCAATTAATAAACAATTTCTCATTCAGTGGTTCATTTCAAAAATTGATTTTCAAAGTGCACACATTACGGTGAAAAGAGCAACCAAAAAAGGGACTCAGTGGTGACTGCAAAAGAATCCAAAATGCGTGCATCTATCGTGGTACCTTTTTTCCAGATATCAAAGTATGAAATATAAGAATAGGTTTTATCCTCTATGGCAATAAAAAAGGTGTTAAGTGGTTCAAACACCAAATAGATACCTTCTGCAAAGAATCAAGTTTGTATTAGCCAGTGACACTGGTGAGACTAGGCCATAAAGAAGGCCTGTCTCTGGTGTAGGCCAATCAGTTTCAAAGACTTTGCATATATTATCAGAGCATGTTTGTTTGCATGTTCGTGTGGCTAATACAGACTTTCCTTGAAAAATGTAACTATTTGGTGTTTGAACATCTGAACGCCTTGTTTTATTGCCAGAAAGGAATAAACCTGATATTATTTTTCATCCGTGCATCTGCAGGAAAGCCCTTTATGGCATTTGGTCCTTTGTTGGTCACCACACTCATAAGACATTCAATAATTTACCATGTGATTGCTGGCCAAATTACATGTTTTTGTAAAGATTTGAGAGTAGCTACAATGCAGTCAAGCCAACATACATAAAACATAGCATTATCCATTCACAATGCTTGACCAAATATGCACACTTGTCATATTCTAAGTGATATATAAACAAATTTCTTAAATTCTACTAACACGTATATCTGTACTGTATATTCAATGATTGAGATAAACCCTAACCCAGACCGCTCTTGCAAGAGATGCATTGTGTTCTCAGGTAGCCGCAAGCAAAGCATGACAAGTTGACAAAAATAACAAATAGACAATTACAGGAGTAAACAAAAAGTGACCCACAACTTCACGCAAGCCACAATCTTGAACGGTCACATTTGCAACCTCCACCCCGCGCCTTCCCTCGGCAAGACACCTGCACTTAGTAACCGCACCTGGCCTGCAGTAGTCCGGGATTGCCTGGCTAGGCGAGTTCTGATTTAGTGCGGCGTTCTGCCACGGTTCCGTCCACGTCTGCCCGGGACCTCCGAAAGGCGGGTAACTGCACAAGCAGGCGAGGGCAAAAAATGGGAAGGAAATCTGAGCCAGTTAAAAGAAAAAAAAAAATCCCATTACTCGCATGACCCCGCCATCATCCAAGAAAACTGCACAACCCCCGGGAAAGAGGGCAATGATGTTTGGGCAGCTGGGCAGCCTTATCAGTCAGTGTGTTCTAGCTACCAAGCAAGTTTGTACGAGGGTTGGCAGTCTGAGCCCTGTAAGCATTAGCAACTACAGCACGTCGGCTACCACAATATGAAAATTTGTAATAAAAAAAATTAACAACCAAACATCAATTCTAATAGTTGGACATGTGTGGTAGTTTAGTTTTTCATTTGTCCAATTGTTAAATTAGCCATATTATGTTTAAAACTTTGGAGGATGTAAACCACTGCACACAAGGTATTGTAATTCTCGGTGGGTCTATCCAGCTTCATCGCATTGGGAATTAAAGGAAAATGTGCAAAAATAATGTTCATTTTGGGTTTTAACAATAGAAAAAAATGTGTAATCTTGATATTTTTTTCTCCTCAGTCAAAAGTTGTGCTGTGGTGGCGGTGTGGGGGCTGATGCCGACGGAGAGCTGTGGGCGGTTACCGCCATGGCGCATCGTCATGGGAACACCAGCCCCACGGCCGTCCCAACATTTATCACCAGCGCATAAATGGAACAAGAATTTCATTTACAACATTTCCTACTTCTGGTCCAGCCAACCTGGGGAAGGTGCTCACTCTGGGCCAAGGCAGTAATGGAGTGGCTGGCTCACGAGGAGTGGGTGACCGAGACTTTTTTCCAATATTTTTGTTTGTTGATTTTGGCAACATTTGAGCAGAATTTATTTGATGTTTTCGAGACAAAAGAAAAAAAAACATATAACAGTGTTGTGTCCTTAAATGCAGTACAAAATAAAACCATTGCTATGTGCAAATAGCACGCATAATAGCACACATAATATTCACAGACTTGCGACGTTTTATGAACTTTTCATCAATGGTGCAATTTTTGTGTGTTTTTTTACGAGCACAAAAAAAAATGATCGCTTACCTCGCATTGCTCATCATGCTGGTGTCGTCCTTGGGGTTAAAGGTGACTAAGGGGACACACAAAAAAACCCACACTCACTGAAGAGAAACATTACAAAAAAATCAATTGAACAAGTGACACGTCGACACGGCCAAGCCAAGCGCAGCTGTCTCGCTCGCTGCCAAGCCAAAGCACCACAGGGTCAGAGGGCATGCTGGCAGGGTCACGGTGTGACATTCAGCAACAAAAGAGCCTCTCAAGTTTGCCAAGTTACGAAGGAAAGGGAAATGGATATTTTTGGTGACCTCACCTGTTGGAGTGAATGTGAAGGAAGGATCTGGCAAAAAAGAAATGACAGACGTTAACATTAAAAGATAAGCTCTCAAATGCAAATAGTGAATTGCATGTGGTGAGAAACACCTCAGAAGCAATTCCGATATCATGCTTCGTTCACTGTAGCCTGTCAGTAGTCTTTCCGCTTTCATCATCAAAAGTGCAGCAAATGGCTTTGTGAAATCCATGCAAATGTCAACTCTGTGCACTTTTAAATCTGGATTGAAAACGCATTTCTTTGGAACCGATTTTTGTGTTCAGTTTGTTGACCTTCCTCCGCACCTCCGATTAGCACAGTTGGCTACGTACGTATGTACAACTTAGGCTCAGCGCACTCTCGGTGACTTCATACGGCTGACGCACCTTTGGTGGCGCCCTGGTACGGATCGGGGCTGCTGCGCTTGCGGCAACAGCAGCAGTAGACGACGATGGCGATGACGATCGCGACAAGCAGGACGAGAAACACCACCACGGCGATGAAGACCGGTGTCTTGACGAAGGTGTCGAACTGGCTGCTGCTGCTGCTGCTCGCCACCGGGGCTGCGGGTGACCGCGACACACACGGATAAGGGGGGGGGGGGGGTCAACCGCACCCGCCTCCTTTCATGCAAGCGCCCAGGGCCACCTTTCGCTCGTTGTCACTCAAACGACAAGGCCCTCTCCGTGATCACAGTCCCGCTGTCGACCGTCTTTCAGTCCGTCAGTCCTTTCATTTCGCGAGACAGGTGAGGTCCCATTCAGATACAATTACCTCCCTTTGTGACGGAAAGACCGAAGAGTTGAAATAAATGTTTGGTCTTTTTTTTTTTTACCTCCATGTGGGAACCAGCATGGCCATACAAAGGAAGAAGAGGGATTTTTGTTGTTAATTCAGATACGGATAATTTTCTGAATTGGCATTTTGGACGTGACATTGGCAAACAATAGCCCTCTACTGCGATTGACGTGTGGCGGTCTTTAGTGATCGCTTCACATCACACGGGAGTTGCTCTGACAATTTCCCCTGCAGCAGCACCACCGCACGGCCGCATGGCAATCGCGCTCGGAGGCAGGTCACCCGACCGCCGCTCACCACCTCCTTCACAAATGTTCCCAGGAACCGAGTAGGTGCTGGTGCATGAGCCCGTCATGCTGACTGTTAAAGATGCTGCCGCTGTTTTAGCAGAATACAGAAGCTAATAATTTAAGAATTAACCTTGAGCAAGAGTGGGCTATAGCGGCGCAGCAGTAGAAAACATGGCTTACGATTGCACACTTATGAGTACAAATCCAGGTCAACAGGGGTTGACTCAACCCTCCATTCGTCTCTGGTTGATACAATTATTGCCGCTTAGTGGGGAAGTCAACAGTGGTGGTGTTGTTATGGAAAGACTCATCCCTGCCACAGGAATGCGGACTTTCCACCACTGGCTAAGAAAAGTACTGTCCAAGTGTGCAAATGAGCAGAATAGCACTTTCCAACGAAGGTCATTACCTGAAATCTTAGTATTTTGTGAATTTGTTACGCAAATAGCAACAGCTGAAGATGTAATTGGAGAGTATTTGCTTTTACCATCAACCAGACTTCATTCCTCTTCTACTTACCTACCCGGTTTGCGTATTTCAATTATCAGTCGCTCAACCACCAAACGCACATCGTGCAGAAAACGTCCTGCCCGTGCGGACGTGACGGCGCAGGAAAAGGAAAATGCGGACACGGCCAGACAAGAGACCGCCGCCGATGCCATCGCTATTCCACACCACCCACGGCGTGCCAGCGTTCTCATTCCCGGCGAATTTGGGCCCACAGCGATTCCGGATGAAACGTCGACGATAATGTCACGGCCGTAAATCGCAGCATCCCCGGTGACACTCTGTACAAATTAACCCTTGCGTGAATATACGCAGTTTATATCCGATAGGAGAGCATGAAAGATAACGCGATCCCTAATCAAAATACGCCGCGGCATATCGAAAGCCCCACGCAAGTGCGTAATGAAAACGCCAGTATATTTATAGTGTATATGCACGTGTGTAACCTTCACAGCTAAATCACAGACGCTTCCTCACTCCCTCATCTGCCAACCCCCGACCCCAACCTCAACCCCAACTAAAATCCAATGAGTTCCTAGGCGCAGGGTTCAGGCCTCTCCGCTGACAGATCCCAGCGCAATTGCATTTTTTTACGTGACAGCGCGCGGGGAAGTCGGCTGGGACCTAGGCGGGCAGGCACATGTTGAGGCCCGCTGGAAGTGCGAGGAAGCAAAACAGCCAGGGCCCTGGCCTCTACCTGCTGAGAAATCCCCAACCCCAGCTCTGCAGCCCACCGCTGCGCGACGCCCTCGCTGCCCTCGCGGCTTGGCGCCTGTTTGCGTTGGGCCGTTCCCGAGCGGCCCCGTTTATTTTCGCAGAGAAAATCTCCGCGTCCGCGCGCTCGTGCGCTGCGCACGCACGGCCCGCGCGCACACGCACGCGTGGCCTACACATGTGGCACTCATTACGTCTCTTGCTCTTCCCGGGCACGCCCGTCGGGCAAAGAAACCAGCGCCGGCATGGCCCCGCTGAGCCATGCCGGCGCGTCTCCGCAACGGTGAAGATGAAGAGGCGCAGCCCTGCTGCTGCCCGCACACGCCACTGCTAGCGGAAGGGCCTCCCCTAGAGGGAGCTCTAACAAGCCCACTGAGAGGGTATTTTGGCCTATTTTTCTAAGCTGCCCAGATGTCTTGGTAAGAGGCGGGAATACCTACACTTTACCCCACCACATGCGGCCTGCCATTGTTTCGACTGCCGCACCGCGAGGGGGAATCGAACCCCACAACCTCTGGATGGCAAATCAGCGCGATAACCATTACGCCGGGGGGCACCACCCCCCCCCCCCCCCCCCCCGTCGTCGCAATGGTACGGCTGCCAAAAAATAACAACACACGATCCTCCCACTCCCTACTGTTTCCCTTCGACCCGCTCATCCCCTCCGTTGTTTGGAGAGATCTGGGACGATTCAAAAGGCAAATGGATGACACGTTAGAAAACATCATCGGAGGGCTGATATATCTGCCCTTCGCCCCTTGAGCGGACCCCTGCGCGGGAGATGTCTGGCCAGGAAGTGACACGATTTAACCCGGCGCTGTTCCGCGGCTCAGGACCTCCTCACAGTCACTTTGGGGATGGGTTTTTTTTTTTGTTGCGCGAGTACGCCGCCCTGGTAAGTAATGTCTCCCCAGTGTAAACCATCAGCGCTTAACTGTTATACATACGCCCGAGGAGGTCACTATAAATCCCCGGTGGATTCACAGCAAAACTTGACACCCGACATTTGCATTCTTCACATACATCCCGGGGTCTCCGAGCTGATCGCCCTTTGGGGACAAGGCGATGCATCTTCCGCCCGTGGGACCCCGGCGAGAGCGGCGCCACCTCTTCTCACCGGGTCATTTTGTCGTACGGGTGAACGCACAGAATAAGTTCGCCACCCCCCACACCCACATCCCCGCCGACACATTAATGATAAACAAACACGAGGATAAATCAACAATTAATAAGGCGGAGAATACCTCGCTCTGCTTTAAACACAGATTGCATCAATCACACCGACGCGCGGGCTGGGAAAAATAATGTGAAGGAATTTAGAGTGCTTTTTTTCACTTTCGATATATTATCCAAAAAACCCCCTTCTCTTCGTGTGTGGTGGTGCGTTCGGGTTATTTGTTGTTCCTCGCTAGTTTTAGTTGTCGGAGGAGGGAGTGTGGCCGGGATAGGGAGTGAGTGCGCACCGTTTAAAAGGATAAATTAAACCCCACTCTCATTATCAAAATAAACCGGGCTCAGGGTTTTTCGGAGCACCCACGTCGTCAGGTGCGGTCAATCGCTTTAATTTGAATTGCCAGCAAAAACAATCGATCATGCAATTAACCGCACTGCCCGCCACCCGATGTGCTGGTGAAAAAAAAAGATATATGGGTGGCCTCACGACTCGTATGGCTAATCGAAGCTTAATTCAGCCGGCGCCGCGTACCGAGGACGGTGAGCGGCGAGCGCAGCCCCGTGCCGGCCGAGTTGACGGCGGCGACGGTGATGCGGTACATGACCCCCGAGACGACCGGGCGCAGCACTGCCGAGCGGGACGACGCCTCCACCGTGCGGTTTATGTGCAGCTCGCTGCTGTTACCCATGCACCACAGCTGCACGCACGCACACGTACGCACGCACGCACGCACGTGGAAAAATCGCACACAAAGACGAGGGTCTCCTGGTTAGCGGGCGTGTAGCTTCGCGTCAATGCAGCAATTTTAAAATAACTCTTTCACTCAGGATGCATGAATCAAACCGCGTGCGTGCGAATCAGTTATTTACAATTCATTGAATTTTTACGCCGTTGCTTCTTTTCGGCAAATGCAGCAAACAAACAAAAATGTTCAAATGAGACAAAATAAATAGGAAACAATGCAACAGAGATGGTGAACACGAGATGAATTAAATAGTTGAATATGGAATGGAATTGTGACCCCAATCATGAGAATGCACCAAATAGCTTCTCGGTTTAAAATCGCCCACTGTTAAGCTTCATTCAATATTGGGGGCATATTTGGTGAGTGAGCACTCATTAAGGTTGGCACGGCACATTAAGTGGCTGTTCTATGAATACCACATCGAGTTGCCTTTGTCACTCTATGGTGATGGTTCTTGATCACATTTATGCTGAGTCAACCTCATGGAAGGCTGCTCGCGGCTCAGACACAAAACGTATTCTCACATTGTACATCGTAGCCAGGAATCGCTGCCGGGATCAGTGCTCTAACCGTTAAGCCACTGCTCCCCATGGATTAAGACACACAACACACACCTTTGTGCCTGACACACACACACACCGGTGTTAGTTCCCGTGGACTTTGGGGGTCAAGTGTCACTTGTGAACACCTATTCCAGCACACTAGGGGGCTGTGTGGCGTCGGCGCGCGGCGTCTCCGTCGCTGAAGAATGTGGCCGCGCACTGTGACACGGGTTGGACACCAATTTGCACGAATATGCGAGGCTGTGTAACTTAAAACGGATGAGCAGGATTGTGGCACCATGCCCCGAACGTCGCGGCAATGCCGTAAATCGCACACACACGTACGCTTAAAAACAAAACAAAGAACCATGTGCAGCAAACATGGATTGTTGGGAGAAAGTAGCGGCGTTAGCGAGCGCTCATTTAAAGCCAGCACAGCGCACAAGGGAGCCGTGTGGCCAGCACCACGCTTGGCTGCCTTCGACTCCCCAGTGCTGATACTCACACACTACAACAGGTGCTCATTTAAGACTCGGTAAATCTACGGTAGTCCCAGGACTGGTTCAGATAATTCACGACTGATGTTGGCCAGGCCCGGGAATCGAACTCTGATCGGCAGGAATTGCGCCCATCATAATGCCACTACTCCCACGCACGCCAACATGTAGCCCTCCCCCGTGCGTCACGTCTGGTGCCACGAGCTATGGATAGGGATCAATTATTCTCGCGTAAGTTCACGTTAGTCTCCTTTAATCTCCATCAACTGTAAACAAAAAATGTATTGCTAATAAATAAATAAATACGAACATTTAATTCAAACAATTTATCTTAATTCCAAGCATTAAGTGAAACACGATAGCTAGGCTTGCTTACAAAATTACACATCACCTGCGAATCACCTCTCAAATTCCAATTACGCTGGTAGCGTTGGCGGGATTAGGCGTACAGTTTAGGCGAGGCAAAAAAAAATGGGGGTTAGCTCAATGGGGAATTTAAGGGCTACTCTAATCCCTGGGGAATGTTTTGTAAGATTAGACAAAGAATTTTGGTGGCGGCGAGGGGGGGGAGAAGCGATGCGCGAGGGAGAGGCGGCTGTCAAGAGGCGACTTACTGATCGCCTACATCATTCATTAACCTTGTGCTCCGTTGATTTGGCTCGGGAGGGGGGGGGGGGAGCGCACGGTGATCAAAATAGCAGATCACCTCTCAAATTGCAATTAAACTCGAGCGGTTATTTCAACTTCTTAACAAGCCAAACGTTAATGCTGGGCCCAAGCATTCATTTAGCAGAGGCGCAGGAAAGGTCCCTGCGGATATTCTGTGGTGGCCGACAATGAGTGTGTGAGCCTACTTTGTTCGGCAATTCCAACATTTTATTGGAATATTTATTTACACTTTCTAAAAGAGGACCCTTAATTTTGCCTATGGCACCCATGAAGAGGGCAGTGGGATCGTGTGTAATTACAACATAAAAACAAAGAACAATGAGCCCGCAGTATCCAGATGCACCACAAGCACTAGGAGAGCAATTGGAGGTCGAACAGCCACCAACCACCACACCAATGTATCCCCATTATCCACAAGATGTTAACTACCTCGTCTGGTATACATGAGGCTGTGGGTTCGATCCCGACCCTGACACCTGTATATTTAGAGTTTGCACGTTCTCCCCGTGGTCTCGTGGATTTATCTCCGGGTCCTTGAGTTTTTCCCTCCACACTTAGAATGATGTGCTTCGTGTATTTGGCTATGAATTTCCATGTGATAAGCCACTTTGTTGAGCAATCATTTGTGGCCAGGTTGCTTCTGAAAAAGAGCTGCGTAGCGCAGTGAGCCTTACCTGCTTGTCAATTCTGCTGATCCCCTGCGCACATTCGCTTCCGACGTTCAGAACCCTCGAGGCACTTCCCGGCTATTCCAATGGCGTCAGCTCACTCAAACGCCCGCATCCCCATCCACAGCTTACCTTGTACTCTAGAATCACTCCGTTTTGCAGCTCCTCCTGCGGTGGCTGCCAGGTGACGGTGATGCTGTCGCAACCCGGCTCCTCGCACCGCTTCACCTCTACGTGTTGCGGCGACGCGTTCGGAGCTGCGAGCAAAACAAGGCATGGGACAAAACCGAGGTCAGGCATCAGGACTCAACTACCGCCTCGAAAATCCGTCAAGACCTGAAGACTCGGAAAAGTTGGCTCGGGAATAAGCAAAGAGGGATTGTAAAACATTGCTTTTTTCACCTAAATTGGAACAAACAGTGAAGCACGTGGTCAACTGCAGACTGTCCATTAAGACCAGTAAAGAGTGACACCAAAGCAATTTACCAGCTCGCAGGCAGCGCCGTTAAATGGCTAAAGAACCCCGACATAAATTTATAACATCTGTTGCTGTTCCAAAAAAAATCACTTGCTTATCTCTGTAACATGCCGTGGGCCAGCCCATCTCTGATGTTTTAAGTGGCAAACCACAGCACTTGCTGGGCACTGCCGTAAGATAGCAGCGTAGTTCTTGCTGGTAAAATGTGAGAATAGAGGAAACGTGATAATGGGCTGCATAGCAGCTATTTTGGGTTTGCTGTCTTGAGGTCATAGGAATTCAAGAAGTGTAGCGCTCCATCCTGTGCCTTGATTGCCATGCAGTGTTACAATAAGAAGACATTGTGTAAAATGAGGATATATATATACATAATGGAGTTTCATGTACCAAACGCACAGCATAATTTGCCAATTCTCTCGCACACCCTTTTCAGATGAAAGAATGTTCCATCCAGTACAGTACCAACGGGTGGTGTCGATGAAAGAAACATGAAAGTCGTGTAATTTTAGCCCAGCAGCTCTCGATAAATGAGCCGTAAAATTGTTCTCAAATTACCGATAAAATACAAGCTTGTCTTATCTCAATCCAACTACATGCCAATTAAAATTGTTTTCATGCTTTTTTTTTCTAAATGACCCCATTTTACTCCAGCAGACGAGCGCCGCCACGACTGCCAGGCCAGCTGCATTGTCAAGCGGACACTTTGCTCAGTGCAAAGACCTCCGGAAATTAACATGTTACGTCGTCAAAGGCTGCGGATGTGTTGCTACATTAAACACTTGTCAACTGCGCTATTTTTTTTGTAATCTTAAAAATTAAATTCTTCTCACCCATTAATTGTAACAAGTGGCTAGACTATAACTTGATTTACACATCAGCAGGGATCCCAAATAATGAGACCGTGGGTTCAAATCCTGGCTAAGGTTAACTCAGCCCCATCATAATCATCATCATTATCCCTGGTTATAATGGGCTCCACCTGGTCAGGCTGCAGTACTTGAAAATAAGCCAGCAGTAGCGTTGTCTTACAGACATGTTGTCTGCACCGTAGAAACACGTCAGGCAGACAAACCGCGAAGATCCACCTATTAGACAAGGCCTCTCTCTCTCTCTCTCTCAAGTTCTCTATCTTGTCTATTTATTCTCTTTAGTCTCTCTCCCCGGTTGTTGCATCTTACTTATTTTCCTCCTCTACATGCAAGGCGCTCTGAGATCCATTGTTTGAGGGGCCGCCTTATGAATACAAATGATATTTTATTATAATTAATTTCAAGGAGGTGAAAGCTCATGACCAATTCACCCGGAAAGGATCTGGATATCGCTTGCACAGGCGACCACCAAGCAATTATGAACGGGTGCTGTAGGCTGCTGGAGGGTCACGTTTCCGGCAGAGGGCGAGTCAGTCGCTGCAGAACGGTGCTCAAACGTCGATGTTTTCCGCCTCTACCAATCCACACTGACAAATGTGTGAAGTATGGTCAAATAACCCCTACAACCTGCACGGCATGGGAATTAAGGCCCACACCCAACAGTGGATTGAGAAAAGGGCCGTACTGTACTGAGACAACTAGTCTCCTTTTCAAGGGGAGACCAGGGTTACAAGAGCGACTACTGTACAGAAATGCAAAGAAAATTGCACAACGGTTAAATCGAGGATTAAATATTAGAATTGGCAAAACTTGGGTGAAAAGGCAAAATCAAATGACTTTACAGAAGTAAAACGGTTTTTTTTTACACAAATCGCATGAAAGCCTTCACCAACCCACACTGACTAGCATGGTGAAATATGGTCAGATAAGCCCCATGACCCGCACGGTGCTGGGAGGGCCCTCATCCAGGGGTGGAATGACGAAAAGGCTGGAGGTGTGCTGATGAGGTGAAATTAAAACCCGGGGCAAATTTCACTTGAGGTTGCTGAGCAATGGATCCAGTGTTAGTGCCAGTTTCGCCGAGGGCTCAGGACTGCTGACATTAAAAAGAGCACCAGCCAATGGCACTTTGGTCATGGGAACGATTTTGCATTTGAAACAATTATCATAAGAGCAACATCGAAATCACTGACTGCTGAATGTGTACTGTGCAGGCCAGTCTAGCTAGACCCAAGAGCACTTTGCACATCTTGTAATGCAGTTTCATTGGATTGGAGGCGCACAGGAAATTAACGAGCCCTGAAGAAGTTTACGGTAGCCCATGATGCAAAATTGTAAAATTAGAAATACTGAAAAATAAAGAGTTAAATACATTAAAAGTAAATAAAGTGAAAACACACAAAAGTGGTTGCGTGTAGAAACGCAGGTCTGTTTGGAACTCCGCAAACACTGGTATTTTCTTTGTCACAAAACAAACAAAAGCTTAAATAATGGCACAGATGACAAAATACAAATTGCAGCCCTTGGGTGCTCTTAGCTTTGCAAAAAATAACCGATTACATTTTAAGTTGAGACGCTTTTGTATTCTTCATAACAAATAAGTGTTACATTCACAACATGTAAGGTCTCTTTTAATTGCATTTTTCAATTTGCTTTGCAAACCTTAGAAAACACGAGTTCTGTTTTTCAAAAGGATACTGAAAATCGTCGTCCAAAAATGGATACAGAGAATGCGCCTGGAACAGTCTTAAGATGCTCAATAAGCACTTTAAGAACACAGAACATTATTCTACAAACAAAACATGGCCTTTTGTTGACTCATTGCTAGCCCGACCCTCTCACCCTATTGTCTACTTACTGCCCATCACTCTTCTCTTTTCCATTCTTTATTCTGTCTTTCTTTCTCTCCCTTTCCTTTCACTCATCCCCCTCTATTGTTTTCCAGATCACAACTACCAGACACTTGCCGTTTGCATCACGACCTATGTAACCACGATCGTAACTAAGATCTGTGCTGTACAGCATCTGTAGAGGCTAACAGCGGATGAGGCCCCCTGCTGAAATAAATAAAATCTCTATCTTTTCTACATCAACAAGGGGCGCGCCTACGGTTACAAACGTCTATGCCCGTCATTCGAACGTCATACACCCTGCTTCTGAGCTTCCTCTATTTCTCGTATTGAAAACATGAACACAATAAATAAAAAACAGGGCCAATCGTCAAAACAATTTTTCGATTTAAAGCTTTCGTGACTGCAGGGATTCATCTTCTTGGTTCTTTCGGTAAAGTCACGTAGAAGGGAAATAATACAAATAAAACATAATAAAATATTTTATTACGTTTCATTTTTATTATTTTATTATGTTTTATTTTTATTATTTTATTATTTCCCTTCTACGTGACTTTACCGAAAGAACCAAGAAGACGTCAAAACAGTGTTCACAGTGAACACTTTCGACCCAAGCTTCAAAAGCAAAGCTTCCGAATCTTCGCAAAAGCAGGCCCGGCGCCGGGCGCAGGCCAAAGCATGCGTCGCACCTTCCTCGAACGTGGAGCCGCGTCGCGCCTCGCTGTCGGGGCCCTGGAAGCCGTTGAAAAAGGCCCTGACTTTGGCCTCGTACGAGAAGCCCTTGCGCAGGCGGCTGAGCACGGCACCGTGCTCCAGCGGTGAGCGCACCTCCAGCACCGACCAGTTTCCCGACGCCGAGCGGCTCGACGACAGCGGGCGGTAGAGCACGCGGAAGCCTTGCAGGTAGAGCGGCCGCTGCATCACCTGCGAGGGGGGGAGGTGCAAGTGAGGCGGACAGGATGAAGGCTAATCGGGGGGGGGAGGGGGGCATATCTATTGAGCGTGCAGGCCGTGCAACTGCACCCCAGGGCTCATGGGCCAAAGAGGCCTAAATGCCGGGCTTACGAATAAGAGGTAAAGCGAGCGGGGTTGGGGGGGGGGAATCCCATTTCATTCCTCGCGTCGACCACGTACGACGCAGGTGGGTGGGGGGAGGCGGCAGGGAAGACTGATTAAGAATTTGGGAGGGGATGTCCGGGAGAGCAGGGGCACAGCGCGAAGGAAGGCCGTAGTAGGGGATGTTTGGATGTGTATGTATGTTGAACTTCTTTTTTGGACTTCTTTCAAACCACATGTAGCCAACCGTGCTAATTGGAGGTGTGGCGGAGACGCGGAAGAGACACATGGGGACACATGGAGACATGGACATGGTGAGCACCATTACAATGCCTGGAGCAGCGAGATGCGGAGAGGCATTGGGAGACACGGGGAAATGACTTCGACACAGAGGAACGGGGAGACATGGAAAGACTCGGAGAGACACCGAGACGCGGGAAGACGCGGGGAGCTGCGGTGAGGCAATGGGACGCGGGTAAACAACCGCGGCACCGGGCAGGCTCAGTAGCACCGACGCAGAGAGGTGGCGGGAGGAACAAGGCGAGACGGTTTGACGGATTACGCACGCTTTAACCTTTGCACACGACAGCGGACGAGCAGCACCTGAGGCGCGACGTGGGCTGCGTGGGAAACGGGCTGGCACTGCCTCGCCGGGCGACAGGGAAATGAATTGTGGGCAGAATTCGATTTAAATGACATTTTTTTTTCCCCGCTCGCATCCAATTCCACCTCCTTCGAACCTTCACGGTTTCAAAAAGAAGCGCACGTTAATTACAGCATTGTCCTTGCCGTAAAATGCGCAGCCGTAACGAAAAAATAATACAGCTTTACAATGTAAATAATCGCAGCACCTCAGCCGGACATCGGTGGGCAGTTTAATATTATAAGAATGTAAATGTGTCCCGTGAATTTGCTTTTCATTAAAAATGCCTCGCATGTTTCATTCTGCTCAAATGTGAGGATCGCCATTCTGCAACAGTGAGGATGTGAATAAAAATTCTACGTGGTGCAGCCAATGCAGCTTAAAAACAGGATAGTTGACAGCATGTGGAGACTTAAGACTCAATGCCTGTATTTCTTAAATTTTAATCGTTACAGCTCATTACAGCAACGTACCTATAATAAAATAAATCATTTTGAGTGTATGCTTGATCGCTGAAGGGAAACGTTATTTCATCTGAAGATATATTCAAGATGCAATATTTTTGTTTTGAGATGGGATTTTACTCATAATTCACAGATTTGATGGCAGCCACAAAAAATCATTCTTTCCAGCAGCATTTATCGACATAAGGAAACCTTGTACTTATTTGAACTCACTGAGCATCATCAGCAAGGTAATGCCTTGTAAATCAAAGTTATAATAATAATAATATTATAATAGAGTCCTGCATTAGGTTGTTATTTTAACATGTTAATAAATGCTTATACAAGCGAGGAAGGAATCCAGAGCACCCGCAGAAAACCCATTTCTTGTGCGAAGGGGCAACACTCTATCCACATACAGATGGAAACAGATGGCGATTACTCCACTTGCTGTACTGCCTTCTTCTTGCGAGCCAGGCTATGGCACCTCGACACGCAGCAGGAAAGGAGTTTCACAACATATTCTTGGGTCTTTCGGTAAAGTCACATAGATAGGTTCAAAGAAAATTTAAAAAAAGTAACAAAACAACAACATTTGTGCGATCCCACCAACTCTCGCTGCCTACCACAGTGCTGGGTTACAGGCGTGCGCAACCACCGCGCCACCCGGCTGCGTCACTGTGATTCGTTACTCAGAGAGGCCAATTTGCCAAGTATTTAAAATGTTGCTCCTTTCAGCAATCGGACAAACCACCTGTATCGCAATAATTCACTAAAGGAGGTCAATAACTGTTGGACAGTGCCATTCCGTTGCACGATAAAGCGCCTACATGAAGGACCACTAACTTGGGTCTCACCTCAGATCACGACAACAAAAATGTTCAAACGTCACTTGTCAAAACCTACAGATTGCCCCTTGTAAACAAAGGAACAAGCTAAGTGCAAAGGTGGATTGCTCCAAAACATAATATCATTGTCCGCGATAGCCAACTATAAGTCAACTATTAACTAAGGTGACCCTAATCCTGACCTGAAACCTTTAACTCTATCTCCTTCGCCCTGACCTATAACCCTGGTGCTAATGCTGAAAGCTAGTTGGTTATTAATAGAGTTTTTTTTCCTTTATTCGACTGATGAACTAAACTTTTTATTTTACCAGGTAAGGCCTACTGGGCTATATGGCTTTTTTCTAGAAGCGACCTGGCCACAAATGATAGCTCAACGAAATGACTTACCATGTGGACATTTTTACCATGCGGCTTACCATGTGGAAATTAAAGGACAGTGCTTTGCCAAGGAAATTCATAGCAGCCAAATACTCTCAATGCATGTTGATTCTAAATGTGGAAGGAAAAACTGGAGGACCCGGAGAAAAGCCCACACAACCATGGGGAGAGAGAGAGAGAGAGACATGCAAACTCCTTAGAGCGGCAGCAGCAGCAGCATCACGAAGTACGGCGGCACTCTCTGTCTCTCCGAAACGCTCGTACCGTCCAGTGCAGGCGTAGGGCAGTGGAGCTGAGGGTGACGGGGTCCTGCAGGTGAATGGAAATGCGTCCCAGCTCCTTCTGGATCAGCGCCGAGTCCAGGCCGGGCTCCGCCGGTGATGGGTCTGCGTGAGGCCGACACGTCCACGTTCGCTGATCGAGGCTAACCGCTGGCTTGACGAGCTCTATACCATGTGTTCCCGCTCGTGCCCACGTCCCACAATAGTCAGTTGTTTACAGAAGTGATTTGTGATGTTGCGGTCAGTTTTCTAAGAAGTGAAAAGTCATTTCTTTGAAAAGTGCTTTTCATGTTTAGTTTGTCATCCTTACCCTGCATCTCCGATGAGCATGGTTAGCTTCGTACATCGTGAAATAAGTTCAGCATACATACGTATGCATCATCCAAATGTGTCTCGAAACTTAATAGAATGAAAGCAGTGACGCCGACCAACTCCCGTCATCTGGTGATCAGAAATATACTTGTGCTTGATTGGCAGAATGCCCCCCTCCGCTGGAGATCTTATTTCTTGTTCCGAAAGGTACCTTGAATTTATGGAATAATAAGTGGTGACTAATAGGTTTTTAGTACACAAACTGCCTTGGAAATAACAAAGGTGGAGGCTGCGATGGTTTGGCCGCATTAACCTGAAACCAGAAGGAATTTTCCACCACCATCCTACAGGCCCCAGTGGAAGGTGGAGAGAGCCATAAGCAGCTACATATGGAGGCTTGCCCCCTCTCTCTGCCTGATGAAGACCGCTGGTGTTGTGACCGAAACGTCGTGGTTTTTTGCTTTTATTATTTTCAATTTATTTTTTATTTTACTATTTACTTTTTTATTGTTGTTTTTTTGCTTTTATTATTTGAAATGTATTATTTGTATAACATTTTTATCATTTTATTATTTACATTTTTCTATTCTTCTTACGTGAACCAAAAATATGGAGAGAGCCAATTGCCAAATAATCACTTGTGGTACCCACAACCTAAACGTTTAAGGCACCGCTGATGATGATGATTCTGACAAAAACAGAGCTGCTGTCACGAACTACTGGCTCATGCGTTAACGGATGTGGACATTCCAAATAGTCCACAGAATTATCCAGATCACATTTCTACACCGAACCCATATGCAAATAATAAAAATGATCAGGGAGTCAACAAATTAGCTGCAATTGCACGCAGATTAAACTATAATGTTCGTGCAATGATGTGGAATTATTTCAAGGCAAACACCGGCTATTAAGCTCAAGTCGTATGGGCCTACAAGCTACACTACAAAGCTGAAAAAGCGTACCCTTGAAGCTTAAATTTGATGCAAAGTGGGCACAAATTGCATGTTAAGGTCAATTTTACATGGAATTGAAGCTCTCTTATGCCTTTCACGACTAAAGAAGCCCGTAGGCTTGTTTTGCATGCATCTGTGAGCTGCAGCCAGCTTCAAGCAAGAAAAGTCAAGATGCAATCGGACACAAAAATTGGGTCAATTCAGGGCTCGTGTCTGAACCCTGTTTGTGCTAGGGGCCTGCATGAGAGCACGTGCCACATGGGCTAGACAATAAGGGGGACTGAAGGAGTCGAACGCATGGCCATATATATTTTTTTAGGGGAGAAACCGGATGCCGTTGTAGAAGATGGGTTTCAATTTTGTGCTTTCAAAACGTCGCCGTCGGTGGCTCAGTATCGAAAATAAATAGTGGGTGGTGAGAGAAAAAAAAAGTAATTCATCCTTTATTTGTCAAAATAAAAGGACAGTAGAGATGTAACAGGACCGGACACAACACATTTCATGACAGAAGTGTTTGGGAAACACATTGGGGCGGCCGAGTGATGAAAAGCAATGATGAGACAAGGATTGAGGAGTCATCACCGATGGGGTGTGCGTGCACAGGGTTCAACCCGGTGGGAATGGCAGGTGGGAACAGAATGGAGCGAAAGCGACGAGGAGACAGGGGGAGGATCAGGTGACCGTTGATAAACGCGCACGGCCACGGGATGATGAGGGCACAGTTTGAGACAAAACAGTGAAAAATGAGCGCAGAGTTCCCGACCCCATAACGCGGCCAGGAAGGAATTCATGAAAACAATAGCAAACACATGTGCGGAGCTGTGGAAAGAGATTGGAATTGTGACGTGAAACAGAGTTACGGTTTGCGGACAGAGAGCCAGCGACCAACCAAAGTGGGGACAATGCTGGGGGAAATTGTTTAAAACGAGAAAAAGAGGAATGCAATGTCGAGAATAATGACTATGATTATGCTGACGAGAATGCGTAGCAGTTGTTTCTCATTACAGGCAAGCACAAACAGGTAAAAACAATCCGATTGAATGGAATGGGTAACGATGGTGCATCGTACTTTCTTGACCATTTTGCAAGGAGTAATGAAAGCGTTTTTGTTTCGTTTTTTTTCTCCGTTAGCATGAGCAAATGTGGTCTACGAATCCTGGAGGCTTTCAGTCCTAAGGAGTTACTTGTAAGAATGTTGTTGTTTTTAGTACCTAAGAATGCCACGATCGATGCCGAGCACGGCCGACAGCGACGCGACAAACGGTTCATGGCTTATTCCAGACATTCACAGCGAGAGCCCCCGTGGCCACCCTGGTTAACGATGCCCGTGGATTAACCATGAATGAGCACCGTCTTGCTTCACAGTGGATGTGGAAGATCACGTGACATCGTTAGCAAAAGAGAAGGGCCAAACGTGTTACCTGCGTCACAGTCCAAATTTTACAAATTGAAGGATAACTCGTAAATTACTTAAATCGGGTAAAAACAAGCAGCAACATCAACCCTTACTGAAGTTTTTAAAGTTGATTTTCTTTAACCACGTGAAATCTCTAGAGAACACGATAGTCTAATTTGCAAGGGTGACCTGGGGCATTCGTCTGCCAGTCGGCGGGCGATGATTGCTGCGTATAATCGCAACTGAGTAATTTGAAAGCACCTGCATGAAAGCCTTGTGCTGTAAGAATGTACTAAGTCATCATCATCATCATTATAATCATCACCTTCTGTGCGCACGGGCTCCGAGACGGCGCTCGGCTCGCTGGCGCCATGCAGATTTACAGCTCGAACCAGGAACACAAAGATGGCGCCCTGGCGCAAGCTGCGCACGGTGAAAGTCTCCGAGCGGACGCCTTCCGCCACGATCTTCCAGCCCTTCCCCAGCGAGCGGCTGCACATGGACAGGTGCATTCACACAGACGTCCGGTCAGAGGCCAACTTAACTGCAACAGCATTTTTTTGTTGTCCTTCACCCACACCTCCAATTAACACAGTTGGCTACGTAGGGTGCGAAAAAAGTTCAACATACATTATTGGTACCTTACACCGGTCTCCTTCTCTGAATGCTGCACCAAGACTTAAAAAAAATATCACAAGAGGCATGGCATTGCTGGCACGGGCCCTGGCGGTGCAAGGAAAGATATGGTGCCACCACCATTCCAATTTCTCCCCTCTTCATAACGTAGTGCCTGGGGCTCCTGTAGCCCGTGGGTGCCATTGAATCACTGGTTCACTCAATAGTTACACCACTGTCATTGGCTTCACACCATAATGGACTAAGCTAATTCTCGCGCAATTTTATAGCAATCGCCAATGTCAATGGTCACCGGCAAGAGATTAACTAAGATTTTCTCATCAAAGCAAACAGTTTGTAGAAAACTTTCTATGATGACCAGCGATTGGTCTCCGTAGCACACAACCTCGGGTAGTCATGTGACCCCTGCCTGCAATTAGGTGCTGCCATCCCATGTGCCCACCAGAGGGAGCAGTGATTAAATATGTCCGGGTGTGGGCAACGAAATTAGTTTTCTAAATCTAAAATGCTGCAGCGGCCATCGCTAGTTACAACTGGCCTAAAATTACCCAAGAGTACTGGACTACCCTTCTCAGCCTTGCATCGTGACCACTAACGGTGATCAGGTTCAGGGTCACTCACCTGAAAGCCTCGATGATGTAGGACGTGGCTGGCTGCAGCGTATCCCGTTTCCACGACAACGTCACGGTGTTGCGGCTCACCTCCACAATCTCGGGACGCGAGGGGCCGCGCGGGGCCAGCGCCGCGTTCATCTCCGTGTACCGCTTGCCCTCTGCAGCCGCAACAACAGAATCGGAATATTTATTTGTCCTGGAGGAATCCGATGAGCCACAACTGCTCTTCTTCACAGATGTCCAGTAGCAGCGGGTCAGAACGTTACAACAACAAACAGTGCAAAAACACGATAGGAGTGCAAAGTTATGGGAGAGGTAAACAATTAACTTAAAATATACGAATAAAACTACGTGATTTTTATCTTACCAGATAAAGCTCACTGAGGTATTAACTTATTTCTTTGAAGCGGCCTGGCCACAAATGATAGCTCAACAAAGTGGCTTATCACGTGGAAAACTAAAGCAGAAAAATAACCCAAATGCATGTTTCCAAATGTGGAGGCAAAAAACCAGAGGACCAGGAGAAAAAAATCCACGTGACCGAGGGGAGAGAGAGGCCATGCAAACTCCAAAAATACAACAGCGACAACATTTACGCGACGTGGCCAGTTGTTTTAGGGGCCAATACCATGTCTGATCGCTCAGCGAGCGCCTTTGAGATGCCAGCCACTCAGAATGCTTTCAAGTGTGGCGAGTTGATGACCTCAGTCCGGTAACTAATGATTACGCATTTAATCTGTCCATCATTTTATTCATGGCATCATATGCAGTGTCATAACATTACCGTATGTTCAAATCATACCATCTAAATTTGAAAGTACCTTATCCTAATCATATGTTTTATGATTTAGTAAAATCGCTTTCCGATCGTTGTGACTTTGTAATTAAGCGCGCAGTAGCTGCTGCTCTGACAGAAAGTTACCTTTGACCTCCAAGAAGGTGTTCCAGGAAGTCTCTCCATTTGCATTTGAAATGACGCAGGTGTAAATCCCAGTGTCCTCCACCTGGAAGCAAACATCTATCATTAAATAACCCACAAGTAAACAGCTAACAGCTAACTCACGGCAATCATTAACACCGCAGCGACATAATGGACTGTAATGTTACAATAACAAACTCGTCTGTCATTTATGGGATTCGTTTTATGGCCGGGGAAGCACTCAATTGCCTTGTGTTTTAAAAATCATCGCCGATGTTAAAACTAAACTATTGTAAACAATAGCTTAAGTAATATACTTAGGAATGCAGTTGCAGATAATGTCACATGAGCCTGCTGAAAGATTCAGAATAGTTTGCTTTTAAATTTCCCTTTGTCAATCCGCTGCTGGATGAAAGACGTCCCCTCAAATATGCCAGTCATGGGGGTTGTTTGACCAAACTTGATGATGCTGGTCAGTGCGGGTTGGTGAAGGAGAGGCCACCACGACTGGTTCAGCTATCTCTCGCCAATAACGTTAGTTGTGGCCAGGAATCGAACCGAGGTCCACCAGGTTAGTAACACGATGTGTCAGTGACTGTGACTGTGCCACTGCCCACCCACCCCACCGCCCCTCCAAGTAAAGCTCTTACGACTCCTCAATTGAAATGTGACACGTTTCAGTCGTGAAATTATCACAAAAAACACGACACAAGTAATGATTCGACTGAAGCGGACGTAATTTCGATATGACACTGTGAAAACGACGTCTGGAGTGGTTCTCACACTCACGCGGAGGAGAGCTGTTGCTTCTAAAGTGAAGTGTTGTTTTGATAAGTTCAAACCACACCCAAGAAAAAACAGACCGGGCAAGGAAGAAGATTAACGGAGCTCTATCTGACGACGAGTTTGCGCTCCTGTAGCCGAGATTTATACGAGGATTTTTAAACACAATGCGGATAATAGCGCCGAGCGACTGGGCCATACATTCCCCCCACCCCCCACCTTTTTTTCCATTTTTCTAACAACGCCAACCGAGTTAAACGCAAAGAGGGCATATTTATAGCCGACCGAGAAACAATGAGGCTTGGCGCTGACAGGCAAACATACATTTTAAATGAAGCTCAGTCGTTGTGCTCCGTGAATTGGTATGCCACAAAGCCACTTTACTGAGCTCCCCAATTCCTGCATCCTGAGCTCTGGCTAAAGGATGGGAAGTGGATTTCCTGTAAACTGAGCTGATCGGGACTTAATAAATGACTGCAGAGGGACTCCATTACTCCCCAACTCAACATCATTCGTTTTTGTTTTATGGTTTGAGTCTCACACAAGAAGCTGTGGCGCTGCAAACAGCTGGTTCGTGTATGGGCTGGAGGCTGGAGCGGACGGGGGAGTGATGCGGGGTAAGCGTGGTCTCGCGATGCTATTTTTAAAAACGGGTTTTTAGTTATTTGCAGAAAGAGGAGAAAGAAAACAAAAAATTCTGTATCGCGTGCTACAGGAAGTACAAAGAGCTGATCCTGTGGTCGAATTGCCAGTGATAGCTCTGCTTGTTACATCAGGTGACCAAAAAAAAACCGCAGGCTGCTTTCAAAAAAAATCCAAAAAGCCCCCAACCACTCCCTTCTGGCATGAGAGAGATTAAATATTCGCACGCACTGACAAGGCCAATAACCACCCGCCACAAATACGTGTGAGTTTAGATGTACGTGGTTCTGTGTCTGTGTGTCTGTATTGTGTGTGTGCTCATGGGGAGCAGGGAGTGCAGCGGTTAGCGCACTGCGCTATGAACCTGGCGACCCGGGTTCGATTCCCGCTCATGGCCAACACCAATGACGACTATTAGAATCAGTCCTGGGCCTCCCCTAAGTCGACTCAGCCTCAAATGTGTACCTGGTGCAGTGTGTAAACATCACCACTGGGGAGACAAAGGCGGTCGAGTGTGGTGTTGGCCACCCACCCCCTCGTGTGACGTGTCGGCCTTAAAAGGTGCTCACTAATAGCCCAGTCTGCTGAAGGCGATGTGGGAGATCTTTGTCTCTGTGTGTGTCAGCATACCTCAATATACCAGACTGTGTTTTCCTCCGTCAGCCTTTTGTGAGTGTGGGGGCCGTTGGTTTGCTGTGATCACACCGACCCCCGTGCTTGATTCTCGACCGAGGATAACATCAGTTGGCGAGTCGTATCTTCAACTGTACTCGTGTTTCTAGTGTATTGTCCAGTTAGTCCTTTGTGTATCTGGGCAGTGTGCTATGAATATAGCATCGTGAGTTTGCTTTTTAACCAAAGGCATCACCAGTGGTAAGTGGTATCGGAAACGATAGTGGATCTTCACTAGGTTGACTCAACCTTCAATCATTATTATCTCCGGGAGTGCGTAAAGATCAGCACTGGGGAGACAAAGGTGGCCCAGCGTGGTGCTGGCCACACAGCCCCCTAGTGCACCATACCAGAATGCATAGGCGCTCACTAACAACGCTTGCCCCAGCGGGCTGTATGGTTATATTGGTATATTTGTCATTGTAACTGTGTGTGGGAGTGTGTGAGAGAATGTGTCCATGTGTCCGTGGGTGGGATACTGGAGAGGGGAGTGTGGGTAAACTATGCCCAGATAAGCCGTGATGGGGAGTCTCCCTTGAGTGCGAAAGCATTTCAGCTAACCTATCCATCAGCTCCAAACTACCGCCCGCCTCATCGCTCCGATAACAGCCGCAAGACAAGCCGGTGGGCCTCCATGGAGATAAATTATTTTTCTCAGGTTGAGAACACGAAAAAATGTTGTCTGCACCTCGGCGAACAAAGGCGGCTCAGTTAACAAAACGCACCCTTCCGTTCCGCGATAAGTCCAAGGGTAAAGATTACGCGCGCGTCGGTGAACATCGGCACATTCAAGAGGTCCCCCTCGACAAGTTGTCGAGCGAGCGACAGTAGCGCAGAAGCTTCGGGGGGTGGGGGGGGGGGGCGGGGTGGCCTGTGAGGCCCGAGCCACTGACAAGCGACGGCGAGGGTACGTTGGCGTACCCGCGTGTAGCTTATCTGCAGCCCTCGGCCTTCCTGCCAGGACATGCGACCGTCCTGCGACGGGATCCTGGTGCCACCCTTGAGCCAGTAAACGACGGTGGGAGTGGTGGCGCCGCCGCCGCTGCCACCCACCGCCTGACAGGGCAGCACCACGGAGCGCGCCACTGGCACCGTCTGGTTGACTGCCACCTGACGGGCGATGGGTGGAAGGTTCTCCAGCGTGACTGCGCGTGACACGGGCGGGGGGAGGGGAGACACGCGGAAATGTGTAACTTTCGTAGTTTTTTTTTTATACCGACTCCATCAAAGGCCCCGTGAAGTGAATTATGCTGGGCGCATGCAGGATGGATGTAAAAATTAGATTTAGGCACTTACGTTTTCACTTACCCAGGAAAGCCTACAAGCGGGCCGACAATTTACGAGTGTGCAATGCAAAACATTTAGATTTACTCACCCATGTGGTACTAAAATTTAGATTTACAGCCACACTGCACCATTACAGATTGTAAAGTATCCAGACATATGGGATTACCCTGGCACAAACAGTTGCAGATGCAGCCCCAAGTAAGAGAATTTTCACAGGGCACAAAAATATTTAATCTAAACACTTACCTTGGGAAAAACGAGAAAATTGTTCAGTCTTCTTTTTCGTATGGCTGACATCGATGCAGGGCAGTTTAACACGGACGCTTTCGCGACCAATATCATCCATAATAGAGGTTTTTTGTGTTAGATCGCGTAAATATGTGTCGTTAAAACCTGCCACCACCCGGTGTGTTGACTCTCCAACACACCGGTGTGCTGTCCTAGTGACGAATTGGCCACGTTCTGTTAACGTGACAACCCTTACTAGTTGGCTGTGTCGGGTGGTGGCGGGTTTTAACGACACAACATTTATATATTTACACGATCTAACCCTAAAACCTCTATCATGGATGCAGAGCAACAACGACAATTTCACATCCAGGTGGTCAAGCCAGGCAACCGAGTCAGGAGCAGCAGCAGCAGAGTGTATCGCTGTGATGTCTCCTTCACATTTGTGGATTGCGCAATGAGGCACAGCAAATTCACCCTTCCCTGTATTTATGAGTGACACCTGAATGGTCCATGATGCTAGGACATAAGCAGGTTTCTCACAATATCAGCACCAAAACTGCAACACCTCGCTATTTTGTACCAATTCCAAGACTGAAACCCCATGAGATTTCCCAGTTACCTGTCAAGATATTGCACAATACCAAATATTGTCTAAACAATCAGGGGAAGAACATGCAATATCCATGCAGAAAGGCACCTGGGTTGGCAATCGAACTCAGCCCCTCCTTGCTGTGAGGCACACCGTGCCAGTCCGTCAACCCGCTGAACACCACTGCAGCTGCACTTGGTGACTTGTATCTCCTCATGCTCGTGACGCTAGCCCCGTACCGTCATGCGCACTCAATTGACCCTCACACCGACTTCTGGCTAGCCATCGGACAAAGACGGTCATCGCATCGCGCGCTTCCAAAAGCGCTTTTGCGGCCGTCTGAAACGCTCTTCCTTCCTATATTAGGAAGCCGCTGGAGCTGTGCACTAGTAACTCATCTGGATGATTGAAAACTCATTGCTTTAGAACTGCATTTTGTGTTTAGTTTGTTGTCCTTCCCCCTGCACCTCCGATTAGCGCAGTTGGCTACGTACCAGCGCGAAAGACGTTCAACATACGTCCATATGTACGTACCATCGGTGACGTCGAGGTAGGCCTTGGCCACGACGCTCCCGGCCACGCTGAGCGAGTGGCAGATGTAGTAGCCGACGTCCGACGGCCGCACGTCCGACACGGCGAGGTCGCCGCTGGGGCTCACCCACAGGCGGTTGGAGGACTGCAGCGGCTGATTCGGGAAGAGCAGATTCTGTGGCGGCACAGATGAAAAAGGGAAGAGCGGTGACCGAAAGGGGGCACATTCCATCAAGTGTTCATATGCCCGGGTGCCATTTAGCCGCTACGAAAAGTAAAATAAAGAAATAAACAGCTGCAGGTATCCGGTTATGAAACACCACATCAAATGCCGCAACAAGAGAGAGAAAAAACATCGTTATGAAGAAATAAAAGCGGCAAACTCACTATTGAATCCCGTGTTGCAGAGGGTGAAGCGGTTGATCGTAAGTGCATATCTACGTTAGAAGTGCGAAGCCGCTGGCTATGCCGGGAGATCACAGGTGGTATGCTCCCACAAAGCCCGAAAGTGAAAGATTGATTCCCAACGTCTGGGGCACACGAGTTTGACACACACCACCCCCGGGGTCATGGCGGGCCAGTGGAACTCTGACGAAGAAAAATCGAAACTGTGCGCATGATCCTCGGGCCGTTTGCACGCATTATGAGCGGTTGGAGAATTGAAGCGAGGTGACGTCAGTTTGAATCCGCGTACATCAGTGACCAGCGGCATCTGAACCTATCCTGAGACACCCCTGAATCAGCGTGGTGAAGAACAGTCAAACAAACTGCCATGAGCCAAAACACAACGCCGCAGGCTTTTATTCAACGTCGGGTTGACAAAAAGCTATAAGTTATAATAATAATCGTCTTAATTTGTTCCAATTATTTCAAAAAGTTTGTGCCAACAATGGCACTTCGTTATGCTGCACTGTCAAATAATTTTCCTGTCATGGTCGTTGCCCTGGGTTATGTTACTTTTTTCTCCTGGATGATGCTTGTAATCATTCACCGACTCCCCACGTGCACCCCTACCCCCTACCTCCCTCCACCCACGATTTAATATGTTGTCACGATATGGGAACATGGTTCGATTCCGCAATGGAATCCAATGTTGTTGTTTTTTCATTTGTATTGTCTCTGGTTTATTGTCTGGCTTGTTTGTATTGTGTTGTTGGATGCACACGCCTACGCGTAACAACAGTGGCATTGTTGGCGCGAAAAATGTAAACAGTCGATGAGCCGGTGCATTTAATGTGGAAAAAACAATTATGCAAAGGGAACAGGCAACAGTATGAGTGCCCCTGTGAAAGTTTTGAAAATATCGTCCAATTATGTGCACCTGACCAATTGTCAGCGATCGGATTTTGACAGACATTGCTTCCTTCACTACGTGTACATGCGAGGGGCGCTTGCGCAGAGAGAGGGCACTCAAACTCACAACAAGAACGGCTTGCAACAGATTACATCAAAAATAATTTTTAATATTACGTTGCGTAACCATGCAATTACTGTGCGCGAGTCAGAGCACAAGCGTGTAAGCTCATGCCGAACGTGTGAATCGGTTCGCGAACTTGCGTTGGCGTGTAGTCGTTCGCACATTTCCACGCGCCACTGAATCGTTAACTCAATCGAGGCTCCCTTAATGCCGTGGCTTGCCAGCTTGTTTGTCTGGGAATGGGCGCAAATGAGTGGCGCAGCGGCTCCTACCTGCGTGCCTTCTCGCTGCCAGAACACAGAGGGAGGTGGGTTCCCAGCAGCCAGGCAGTGGAATGTGGCCGTCTGTCCCTCCTCCACCACCTGGTCGCGTGGCTGCACCACCAACTGGGGGGATGCTGAATCATAATCACCACCAACACAATCACAATCACGCACAGGTGCATGAGCATACACGCGCGCACAGGTGCATGGGCATACGTGTGCACAGACGCATAGGTGCATGGGCACACATGCACAGGTGCCTGGGTACACATGCACAGGTGCGTGAACATACATTCACGCACAGGTGCATGGGCACACACACAAGTGCATGGGCACACACGCGCACATACAGGTGGACACATGAACGCGCAAGTGAAGACACGTGCACGAACACTGTCACATTTGTCTTTTATAAACAATTATCTGACGCTGGTAAAACACTGGACATACATGGCACTACAAAGGGAAAGATAATTTCCTACCAGTGTCTGGCTAAGATAAGCACATCAAACAGTGATACGAGAAAAATAAACATTAAAGGAATAAACGCACACGTTCAAATCTGTGAGAACAGAAGCAATCCGCAAAATGAGAAAATTGTTGCCTTTGTTGTCATGCTTTATGAAAGAAAGAAAAAAATCTCTAATTTTCTGCTTAGAAGCACTTGAGACAAAAGCTTTGCACAGAGCAAAATCTACACGTGACAGCATTCACTTCCAAACATCCTCCGCTGCGAGCCCGGATGCCCTTCGCAAAACAAAAAAAGCCAAGCCGTGCGGGCGTGCTCGCGAGAAAATGTCACATTCAAGGGAACAATTTACCCAACGCAGACCGGAATCAGGTTCACGTTGAAAAATACCAACAGCTGCTCACGATCACCGGGCTGAAAGAAGCACTTTCTGAAGGGCGAGGGCGTTAGTTTTATTTATTTTGGTAGCTCACCGCCAGTCACGCGAGCTACCAAAACCGGCCGCCGGGTCCGCCCGATACTCGCCGACTGCACAGGGGGGGGCAGGGTGCCCGGGTCGCGGTTCTCCGACACCCCCTCGGGGGGACGGCGCCACGCAGAGGGGGCGAGCGCGCCTCTCCTTTCAGCGGCCACAGCTGATGCGGCACAAATGAGTTCCCTTTCGCCGCGCGGTCCGTGTCCCAATTACGAGCGTCGCCCCAAGGCCGGCCTTGCATTCCGCGAGGCAGCGGCGCTGCTATTTCTGATAATTAGGGGCCGTCTGGAGGTGCAAACCAGGTTTACAAAATTAATTCTTTCCTGAATTTCGCTCCTGTTCTAAAACACTTGCTCACGCACCCCCCGCTACCCCCCCCCCCCAACGCTTTCTACCCCTCCGCCTCCCAACTCCCCTCGGCCCCCTGCTAAAGCAGCTCTCTCGCACCCCCGCTGACACCCTTTTGAAAGAGCCCTCGCCTCCAAGGCTCTGCGGATTCCACGCTCATAATCACGGCCACCTGGTTCCGTGCCGATCTATCCCAACGGCTAACCAAGCCGTGGAATATTAGCATGAATCTCACTTAACACGGCTCTAATTTTAATACTGCACACCCCCCCCCCACCCCCGCTGTCAACGCTTCAATACATGAGCTAATTAAAAATAAACTTATACATCAACACCTGAGGCATGCAGCCGCGATGTCGTTTGTCACGGCCAAGCTTTGCTCATCTTGAGCGAGAGCGAGGCGAGCGACCACTTCGCGCGTCGACGTTCACAAGGAGAAGGCCCCAGGGCCTCACGGCCCCCCCCGTCCCGTCCCGGGCGGCGGTTGTTCGACGAGCATGAGAGGGAGCGGCGGTGGCGGCGGTGGCGGTGTGGCCGGGGCGCTGGCGGCCGAACACAGTGGCCAGCCGCAGTGCCCGACAGATAGCCCAACGTGAACTCCGCAAAATGTAATCGCACGCAGCCGTCGGCGCGATCTTCTCTCCCGTATCCAATTTACTCGCATTCCGCCGAGCAGCTGTAGCTATAACATTTCAAAACTCTGTCACGAGCTGAGCTCCGGGGCAGGTTATTAAATGCCGAATAAAAAGCAAATGTGTTGCAGGAAATTTGTGGCTCTGCAAAATTAGCTATTTTAAAAAGGGTGAGTGTGATCCTCCACGCCCACCCCCTCACCCCCCACTTGTTTTTCCTCACCGCCTTTCTTAATAATACAAGAAGGAGCAGCTTCATTTCCATCTGTTTATTTATTTATTTCTTACTATGATTTCCTTCCGACTCATTTAACGTTTCACTTGCCATTTTCTACTTCTGCGTGCTTTATGAAATATTGTTCTTATCGTAACCCTATGTAAATTGGATAAGGAAACTGTGCTGTCATGCAGAATTTGGTGTGAACAGGCAGGCAGGCAGATCGGGGGCTTTGTTTCTAAAGCGCGGTGGGGGAATAATTCCAGGCGTTAAAAAAGATGAGAGGCTATGTGAGTGCCACGGTAAGGACGAGACGGTCTGTGTCAATCGGTAAGCACCGAGCGTTCGGAGGCCTAATTGCGGCGTCGTTTTAGCAACCGCGCAGCGGCGCGCGGAGGAGGAGGAGCGTTACAATGGAGAGGTGCAAGCTTCTTTTTTTGCGCTTCTTTAACTTACCGTAGGGGCCCACTGCAGGGAGGGAGAGGAGGAGAGAGAAGGGCGGGGAGGGAAGACAAAAAACAACGGGTCATCATCCACATGCAGCTTCAAAGCACAGATGAAACGGCACACTCGGCACAATGCGTTCGCAGAGTAACTGCAGCTGACATTTCAAATGCGTTGGACGCAAATATAAACAACTGTAATAAGCATGTATTATTTACGCAGCACGTCTGCTAAATCACATATAATTTTCGTTAAAGCCGAGTTTTCCATTTCTCGTGGTCCGTAATAGGATTTATAGTGTTATTAACCAAATGTATTCAGTAAGACTATATGAGCCAAAGGTTGCAATTTATAACCAAAATGACCATACGTGACTTAATGGCCTGCCATTTCCCCAAATTTCCTTGTAAATGTTTTTATTATGGTTTAATAGCTTTGTCCAGAATAGCAGTGTCAATTACAGGGCAATTACAGGGCAATTACGGAACAAAAGACATTTTAAAATACCATATCAGGCCTAAACAAGGGCACACTCCCACGCTTCAACAGAACCCTATCTGACCGTTAATTTCACAAGCGTGGCTGTAATGAAATTTGCCTAAACCAATTCATTCATTTACCATTGGACAAGTCTCAAACAGTCATTCCAATACTATTTCGCAGCATTGTGGGTAAAACATACTTTGTTGTGGTGTTCTAAGCAAATTCAATCAAGTCAGGTGAAGTCATTGTTGCCTATAAGGTGAGGTGTGTCTGTGTGTGCGTAAGTGGGTGGGTGTGGTATCAGTGGTTCACGCACCGTGTTGCAATCCTGGCAATTCATGGCTGTACAAAGCTAATTACCAAGCAGTATCTGAACCTGACTTGGCTGCCCCTTTGGTCGGCTCAACGTGAAAATGAGTACCTGATGCAGCCTGCCATCATCGGCACCCGAGGGAAAAAGTCGAGTTATCCGACGCCTTCTTTCTACGTTTGCCGTGCCGGCCTTAATAGGCACTCACTAGCGGCACGTGGCCTGCCTGTCAGGGATTTAACAGGATAGCTACGTCGTTGCGTGTGCACGTGTCAGTGTGTGTTGTGTTTGGCCGGAATATGTCTGCAAGGCTCTGATGAGACCCAACAGACTCGAGCACGTGTCTATCGTTGATCTTTTTGAGACGCATTGTGGGTGTATGTACACGTCGAGGGGCAGGGGATACTTGGGAGATCAGGTTCGTATGTGTCGACTCATGTGTGTGTGTAAATCAGCATACCCTTGTAGTGTGCCATTATTCGTGTGCTTGTGTACGCGCACATACGCGAGCATCTACGGGTGTGTGTGTGTGCCTTTGCTTGTGTGTGTATGTGCATTTGCAGGAGAGCGGTAGTGTAGCGGTAGTGTAGCGGTTCGCGCACTGCGCTGCGAACCCGACGGCCTGAGTTCGATTCCCACTCACGGCCAACACCGGTGACGATTATCTGAATCGGTACCTGGGCCTCCCCTAGGTCTACTCAGTCTCAAATGCGTACCTAGTGCGATGTGTAAAAGCATTGCCACAAGGGAGACAAATTTCGATTTAAAGCTTTCGTGACTGCAGGGATTCATCTTCTTGGTTCTTTCGGTAAAGTCACGTAGCAGGGAAGTAATGTAATAATAAAAATAAAACATAATAAAATAATTCTCACCACGTTTCGGCCACAACGCAAGCAGCCGTCCTCAGGTGAAGACCAGGTCTGTCGGGGAGACAGCGTCTGAAATGCTCTCCCCTTCTACGTGACTTTACCGAAATAACCAAGAAGAAGGGAGACAAAGGCGGCCAGGTGTGGTGTTGGCCACCCACCCCTCATATGCTATGCCAGCCTTCATAGGTGCTCGCTAACAGCACTTGCCCCAACAGTCTGTTCAGGCTATACGGGAGATCTTTGTCTTTGTTTTTGCCTTTGCAAGAAGCAACTTTAATTTACAAACATATTTCACGAAGTATATTTTAATGGAATAAATTTTAAACAATCACGTATAATTGATACCACCCTGCAGAATATCCCCAAAGAAACTGCCTGGGAGTCGTCAAAGTCACAGAACACGTGTTTCGAGCACTACAATTCTGGGTACTCGTCCAACTGACTTAGCCATCGCAAAGGTTAATTACACCGCGTTCATAATTTAGCCAAGAGTCCAATGAAAAGCAAGCAAAGGTTAGCAACCTTCCCCTATAACTGTTAGTGGCCCAGCCCTGACCTTGATTAGCAGCGTCTAAAAATTGATCGTCACACCCGTCATGATTTATTGAAGTATCTTTGCGTGTCTGCCATTCTGCTCATAACTAGAGAAGCAACCGCCAGCAAGTGATAAGATGTATATGTATATTGAACTTCTTTCGCCCCGTACTTATCCAACCGTGCTAATCGGAGGTGCGGGGGAAGGACAACAAACTATGCAGTCCGCTTATATTCAACAACAAAAAATGCCATTTCTAAAATGCAACTTGGATTTTTTTTTTTGAGAGGGCGACCTGACCTGGGAGAGCGAGCAAACAAACTTTCATGGAGTGATCAGTTCCCTGTGATTGACGGATCGCTGAATTGCAATATAGCTTTCAAATCATACTACCATTGGATTCATTGAAATATCATTCTTTTCAGTCATCATCATCACGCTACTATTGTAATCGTAACAGATGTTTGTCCGCCCACCATTCTACTTCGAACTCACCAAAAAGCCACGCAAAAGCATGAGTCAGGTGGGCACGGTGCCAATTGCGGGACAAAAGCCAAAGGCGTCTTCCCGGAGCTCGCAAGCAATTATATAATAATTGGAATTTGCATCGACGCAACGCGTCCACAATTTCGCGTTACTGAAAGCGACGCTTTCTACTTTGTTGCAACAACAACAAAAAACCCACTCTGCGGGTACTGGGGCCATGTGCATGGCCTCCCGCTAATCAGCTGCAATGGGTTCCATTGAGGCACCATCACGGCCGTGCACATATGTCCTCGCGGTTCAGCTGCTGTCAGCGGCATTCTCCAAGACAGAAATATTAGCACAAGCCCCCGCTACCCCCCGGTCTTACCCATTATCCTCCAGCCGCGCACGCGCACGCGCGCATCGCCGGTACCGCAATTCGCTCTGGTCGCGCCACAGCCTGCCTTTTTAGCGTCACTCCTTTACCCCGCTGGGCGAGTAATCTCTGTCTCTCCGGGGCCAATAACTGTCCCCATCCATCCCCCCAGGAATTTCACAAACCTCACACCGCTCGTCTCGTCCCTTTGATCTCGGCTTCCCAAATCCCAGCGACTGGCGTTGGCATTTCATGTTCGCTGCGCTCCTTTTTTCATGAAAACTGTTTACTGAAAATACCACCCCACCCCTTCCCTTGCCTGCTCTATTTAATAAAGGGCTCCCAAATGCAAGGCTAATCTCGAGATCGCCCCCCCCCCCACTCGCCGGTAGCGGCAGCAGCAGAGTTTGGCACAAAGGGGCCCCCCCGCCTGCCCGCCCGCCCGCCGTGATCACCAGGTGCGCCACTTTAACGAGAAAATATTGGGGGGAAGTTCGCGGCAAAAACGCTCTCACCCCCCCCCCCCCAGCCTTTAATTCCTCCCTCGCAGCAAGCGCTTGTCTGCAGTAAACAAGCGACTGTCTTCGTGAGCCACGTCTCTTGCCGCCTCTTCACCGCCCGCCAGCCCCTCTCAATGCATTTGGATCGATAATCGTCGGGGATCCTTCGTCCCACGCTAACAGCGTTAGGAGACGTGCAATCGCTTGCAATATCCCAGGCCCCGTGGCTTCACCCTCAGCACTGCCCAGGGCGCGCTCCATTGCGCTGAGCAAGCAGAGCGGGCCTCAAACCGGTCAAAGCAACCCCCTTAACTCTCTACTCTTTTATAATTTACACAAGCTGCTTGGCTCATGTCCAAAGCTGGCCGTGTCATTAAATCACCCTCCAATTACATCCAATCAAAATACCTCTGATTAATAAAGAAGAAAATGGGGGGGGGGGGGGGGAGGACCACTTGAACACTTATTACCTCGCCAGCAATGTCTGGATCAATATTGAGTAATCAAACGCACGTGTTTCGTATTTTTTTTCTTTCTGTAAAACCGTCTGCCCCTTGTTGACCTCAAATACGAGGCCTTAACCTTCGGTTATTTGTTTCGGGAAAAATGGGATTGGAAAATAAATGATCTGTGCGCCGAGGAGGCGGCGGGGGGGGTGCGGGGTGGGGGGTACCTGCGGAGTTAGCGATCTGTGGGAAAAAAAGTAGCTTCACAGCTCATCGAATTCCTCCGGTATAAATCAATATTCTGATTCTGCTCTCGATCGTGGGCCACAACCCGTGTTTGCCTGATCACCGCACAGACAATTTGAACGGATGCGTCATTATCCAGCAGAGATGCTGCAGCCAGGACCACAGCAGCGCTAGTTTAGCAGGACAAACAAGCAATGGATGACTTGCGGAGACTCCGTCGCCATCGCAGCTTGGCCAGGAAATCCAGCAGCAGACGTGAGACTTCCACGGCGAGAGCACTGCGCCCGCAAGGACTAATTTGTCGTTTTGATGACAAGGATCGTCCTGTGATCTACGCGGAGGCAAACAGCGCCGCATCCCCTTACGGTTCTTGGCGGAGAACTAATTCATTAGAGATGTGGCAGCGAGCGACGCTGAAGTGGGGTAATTGATTCTGGGTTTTTTTTTTCACAGGAAATGGAAAACACTTTCGCTGTGCCATTGACGCACTTTGGATTGATTTTCATGCTCAATTTCTTCAACGTGAGAAGAAGAAGAAGACGAAAAAAACAAGATAATTTGCAGGATATTACTGCAACGGGATTGCTTATTGCAGTAACAAATTTAAACTAACCAGCTAAATCAGGCATTAAAACAGCACTTTTTTGCGCAGCTGCGGCACAGTTAATGGCATGATCACCGGCGACAGAAACTCCCCCGCCCCCCCCCCACCCCCCCATAGACAAGGGGTCACCACCTAATTTGGTTGCAAGCAGCAGCAATTGCTGAAATGGGCACACTGAGAGCCAGAGGCATTGTTTCAATGGTGAATCCGCACGGCAGAATATTCTTGATTATCTGCGTGCCCGATCGTTACGAAGCAAACGTAAGTGGTCTAAAAAACTTTTATCCACGAGATGGAAACGACCAAATGCACCCTCACTGCGCGGGTTTCTTTGTGGTTGTGCTGTACGTGTCTCCGGTGCGACTTTCTGGTTGTTACCGCGTGCTGTTCGTCAGGATGTCCGACGTTTCGCTCCACGTGCAAGGGATCTTATTTTCAGGAACTTCGGCACGTTTGAGCCAAATGTCACACGTCGTGACGAGGAACGCGCGGCACGAGTCGAATAAAAAAAATTGGGCAAAACGCGAGCCGCGTTTGTGATGGGAAGAACAAAGGATGTGCCGTCCGCCTCCAATGGCGCGCGGCCAGAGGGGTGTGGTAGCCTGGCAGCCGTGGCACCGAATCGACACGTCTCTGCGTGCTGCTGACGCTACTGTTCCTCCTCCTCGCCATCGCGTCCACGAGCAGCACGGGCACGCTCGCCGAGCACGTGCCGAGCTCCATCGGGAGTCGCGCGACCATCAAGAACACTCGCAGAGGTTCACTCTACGGACCGGGCAGAGCGTGCCAAAAACTCGCGTGCGTTTGGAAAGAAGGCTTTCGTTTACAGCTACAGCAACACACGTTGTGGGAGAAACTCAAATAATATGCAGGATGTACAACACAAATAATTAACAGCCTTTTGTCGATTCAACTCTGGATGACGGACTCCCTATGTCACGCCGTTCACGGCGGGGATTGCGTGACCACACTTCGCCATGCTAATCAACGTGGCTTGGTTGAAGGGGTGGGGTGGTGGGCAGGACTGGTTCAGATTAACGCTCGCCACTGATGTTGTCCGCGGCTGGGATTTGAGCTCAGGTCGTCCGAGTTCGTCGCGTAGCGCACTAACCCACTGTGCCACAGCTCACCCAATATTTACCGTATATGTGCTTGTACTAAAACTAAACTGTTAAAACTTTTATTTTAGCGGCCTGTCCACAAATAAGAGCTCAAGCAAGTGGCTTATCATGTGGAAAATCACAGCAGCCAAACGTGGAGGGAAAAGCCGAAGAACCCGAAGAAAAACCCACACGACCATGGGGAGAACATGCAAACGCCAAACACACAGACGTCAGGGTCAGAATCGAACTCACAACCTCCTGTGCACCAGGCGAGGTAGTTAACATCTCCTAGCCACCGCGGCGCCCACTATACTGTTGCGTGCTGCCACGGGCCATGCTGAGCTGGCACTCGAGCGGTGGCGGTGCGTGCACGGCGGTGTATGGAAACATCTCTTAACCTCTGGCGCCCCGTCACACTGGTAAGTTTTTTTCGATGGGGATCACTGCCCGCCTGCCCCGCGGGTGACGCAGGCCTGGGGCACACACACCGCTGTCTCCCTGCCAAAGGTTGTGCTTGTGCCAGCTTGTTACGTGAAATACACCCCATCCACCCTCCCACCCTCCATTGTGTGAAGACTGCAAGACAAATCAATACACACACAAAATATATGTATCATTGCCAAAGACATTAAAGCGGCGTTCTTTTCAAGTCCAAACCTCGTGACCCCCCCACCCGCCACGGTGGAGATTACAGATCTATACTATTCATATGAAAATGAAGTCACTGCACACTGCTTGCACCTGTTTGGCAATCACAGAAAGCTGTATTGGGGGTGGTGGGCAGTTTGGGAGGACTGCAGTTGGGAAACACCGCATTCAAGAAAGCTGTGAACCAAAACACAAACAGCTGCTGTCTTGTCGCTACACGCCTAGGCTGTGTGTGCGCTGGGTTGTCCAACAACTGGCTTTGAAGCCCTGCTGAGCAGACAACTGTACTATTAAGGTTACGGTCAATGACTTCATGAGGGCGCGCAGGTGATGTTACCAAGATTTCGCTCCTGTACAATGTAATACGATGCAAAGGCGGGGACGTTATTGGAGTGCTACGACGGAACACCAGACTGTCATTCCAAATTCTTTGGGTCTCATCGAATAAAAGGTTTCACACCCACGTCAGGCAGCCCATGACACACTGCTTAGTGACGTTATCTCACTAGATAAGCACTGTTTGTGGGAGGTTTTTTTGGGGCGGTCACATCTTCCGCCGCGGTGGTCGAGATGTTAACTACCCTCGGCTGGTATACAAGAGGTCATGGGTTTGATCCCGACCCGGACACCTGCATATTTTTATTTAGCAAGTCCTCCGGTTTTTCCCCTCCACATTTAGAAACGTGCATCTAGAGCATTTGGCTGCTCGAAATTTCCACGTGATGAAGCCCTCCGTTGAGCGATCATCTGTGGCCAGGTTCGCGTCTGAAAAAGAGCTCAGTGGGCCTTACCTGGTAAGACAGATAATAGTTTATAGTTGAGTGTTTTTGTTGCCGCAGCAGGGTTTAGCGGGACAAGCTTCCACAGGCGTCCCTCAACCCAACCGACCGTTGGAGCGTGACAGATAATGGTTTTAGTCTTCCAACGAGGAAACTATAAAACGAGCTGAGAGAGTTTTTACGAGTTTTGCGGCCGGCAGACAAGATGGGCTAACGTGCTTTTCTACAGCCAGCGACAGCTGGGCCCGTCGAGCCGAGGGGGGCACTCACCGTGAACGTTGAGAGAGGCAGACACCTCGGCCCTGCCGAGCTGGCTCGAGGCCACGCACGTGTACGTCCCGGCATCGGATGGCCGCGCCAGCCAGATGCGTAGCGTGTTGTCAGCCTTCACCTCATGCCTGGCGCGAGCAGACCACACCCATCGTGCTCATGATATCATTGTTATTACTAGTGCTGATTTTTATTGCTGAGCACAGGCCCAAAAGAAGGCCCAAAAGTTCCAAAATGTCAAGCGGCTGACAAACAATCGGCACGATCAGAGCTTTAAAACGCGTGAGAGTTCACATTATTCTAGAGTTGAGCGAGGGTCATTTATGAGAACTGTAAAAAAGAGACAATGGCGATGAAGCCTAAAGTGGAGCAGTGTGAGGGAAGGAGCAGAAAAAAAAGTGTTTCTGACCTGCATTATGGATAAGACAAAACTAAACGGACAGTCGAGTCGAAGTGTATGGAGCAGTAGCCATGCTAGTAGCGATAGAAGAGTGGTGAGGAGGCGTCTGACCGTCAATTGGCGAGTGACTCAATTGGCTTAGTGAGCATGCACCAACACACACACCACCACTGCTATCACCACCTGCCAGCCTATGTTTTGGTTTACTGTATCTGATTAGATATTCTTGGTTCTTTCGGTAAAGTCACGTCTTTACCGAAAGAACCAAGAATATGAATCCCTGCAGTGACGAAAGCTTTAAATCGAAAGAAATTAAATGTGAGGACACTAGAATGTATGATAGCAGGTGATGGCTGATGGTCGAGGCTAAGGTCAGAGTGGCAGTCCAAGGAGAGAAACACACCAAAGCTGATGTCCAGAGATGAAGTGATGGAATCAGCTCGTGCAAACACGAGATGGATTATTACATCACAGGACTGTAAGAAATGGCGATGGCTTCGGGTCGGCCTTCGTTCAGCAGTGAACTGATCATGGCTGATGATGATATGAATATATTTTAATAGTTATTATTATTTAGGTAATTATCCTAATTTGTACCTGCTTTGTTATCATTAATGTATTCTATAGTTGGACTCTTTACGTTTTAGGCCTTTGGGCGTCTGCTTTAGAAACCGTGATTCAAAAGGAAACTCGCGTCAAAAAACGGTGGACATGCGCGTTTTTAAATTATCCGATTAGCTGACACCTTCCAAATCCACATCGCAGATCGCATGGGACTACATCGTGTCCAATTTCCAAAATGAAAACAGGCATGGGAAGAAAAAAAAAAACAGACAGAAATTCGCTAATGATGCACGCGATTAAAGGAAGGCTTTAAGAGTCTGCTAAGTGTGCAAAGGGTTACCCCCAAAACCCTCCTCCTCTTTGGCCACCACCTCGTCTCCCACCGAACACAACGGGCGTGACGGTGGCTAAGAGGCTTACCTCTTTCAAAATATCCGAAACGGGATTCAGTTTCACAAACAGCATCGAGGAGAGTAGCGTGTAAAAGAGCCTCCCCCTGCATCTTCAAGTGCCCTTTAGCAGGTAACCCAATACCCCTCGTATAAACAGCGCGGCACTCCGCTGTCTGGCAGCGCCGCACATTATCGCCGAGATACATCGACTGACAAGCGAACGGATTGGGTCTGGCGCTCCCTTTCTGCCTTGCCAACTCTGCGAGGTTCATTCCAGCAACATCCTCCTTACGGATGCGTGCCTAACCCTTGGAGCGCCACGAGAAAAACAGAGAGGAGAGAGAGGAGAGAGTGGGGGGGGGGGACGAGAGAAAAGAAGCTCGCGGCTTAATCTTTCCCGCGAACTACCGAACTTACGACGGCGATGACACTTTCACGCCGGCGATAAAAGAGCGGACGGCTTACAGCCGTGCGTTAGTTCATTCATTATTTATAGGGTTGGGTTTTTTTATTAGCTGGGAAAACTACGTGATATGAAACATCCCCATGTTCCTGGGATATAATAATGACGATATATACACGTACACACAGAAGAGATGTGCACACTCTTACTCATCTATGATAAATATATTCATGAACGTGTAGTGATAAAGAGATGAGATCGTATTATTTCTCAAAGAGGAAATCAACATTTCAGCCGGAGTGGTCGTCTTTCGGCCTCATTCGAGGGCAAGACGTCTGTAACACAGATGCCTGCTTTTTTATGGAATCCAGAGAAATCCTTTCTCTGTAGGGTTTTTGCTGAGATTTTACAGCTTTTTGAAGGAGCGTTTAATGCATTTTCATCTGGCCATCTATGTACATGCATGGCTGCACACCATCGGCGGAGTTTGATTTCTATATTTGGGGAGGGGGGGGTGGAGGGCCAGGGGTTCGCTTTGTCCCTCACATTAGGAATCGGGGTTGCATAAATGTAATTTATTTATTGTGAACGACTTAAAAGAAATTAATAAAAGTGTCAAGTTTGGGATGGGCGTTACCCCCGCGTGCCCCCCCCCCACAAACTCCGTCTATGCTGCACACAATCTGTATATACATGTACTCCCTCAATATATATGAACATATGTATGCAAGAAAATGTCATCACCATAAGCTATTATCTATACACTGCTGGATGATCGCCTCCCCAAGCCTCAAACGTCTCTCACGATCTCACGACGTGGCAAGCCAAGCAGCTCCTGCACACGAGCGTATCTGCTCGCTTCATCTCCGCAATAAAGGGATCATCCTCTCGGGGAGTGTTTCTCCCCCCCCCCCCGCCCCTTTGACTGCCACTACCAGCGGCCATTATCCCTTTCTCGACGTGTCCTGCCCAAGCCCGCTTACTTGTCTTTACGGCCAAAAAGAGGCACGTTTTATCGATCACGTTCATGATCGCCATACGTCCCCGAGCTCTCGGGAAACAAGTACCAGCCTCGTGGATCACACGGTAAAAAGCTTGACCAGTCTCAGCCCAGGCCTGACGCTCGTCAATCCTTGTGCTCCTCGTCAGAGATCGAGGTGGCACTGGCTAATGGAGGTCGGAGGGACTGACAACAATCAGACCGGCAATGAAACTTGTCGGGTTTATCTAATCGTCCGTGTCCACCGCACTCGGGAAAACGTTTCACGATCATGTCAGCGGAGGTTGCGCTCACATTCACGTTAATGTACACATGGGCATGTCGTAATTTTAGAGAAATAGATTTTTGTCACCCTGTGACAACAGCGGTCAGTGCTATCAAGGCACCGTGGCTTCGCCGCAAAATGTATGCATGCATGTATGTCGATCTTCTTTCACGCCGTACGTAGCACAACCATGCTAATCAGAGGTGCGGGAAATTACTAAATGCAAAACACGAGACGTAAGGAGACCACTGTCCACGTGAGCACCTCGCGATGATTACATCGCACAGCGCCAAAGGCAGGTTTCGTTAAAAAACGTGCGAACGTCACTCACTTAAAGCCAATGGCCGCGGCTGCCGTGAGGAATGAAGCGTAGGATAGAGAAACAAGAAGTAGCCGTGGCGGGGCGGGCGGATCGCCGGGACGCGTCTCGAGCGCGCCCACGCGTGGTTCTGCTACCTGTCACGTGGCAGCTCCCCGCGGAGCTTGGTCCAGCTCACGTCCGGCCGCGGGTCGCCCTGGGCCTCGCAGTTGAACTCCACGCTGCCGTTCGCCGCCACCAACTGGTTCAGGGGCTTCCTCACAAATGTCGGCCTCTCTGTAGAAAGGGGAACGCACGCAGCGAGCTCGGTGAGCGTGGCGAGCGTGGGAGCACGCGCGGGAAGGCCACATTCATCAGCACGGCCGGCTACGTATGGTGCGAAAGAAGTTCAACATACGTGCGTACATGCATCAGCGTCCATGCGTCCGTCCGCCCGCCCGCTTCTCGGCTCAAATGCTCAAAATGTCATCCGTCTCCCGAGAGTTACTCAGCAATAACTGGGAAGCGCTAAGGTGCACAGGACCGTGACGTCCGTAATGAAATGTCTTTGTTGCCGATGATCGAGGTGGATAAACGGTAAAATGGTGCGGTGTAATCTGTTTAAACATTTCCAAAAAAAATTAATGGGTTTTTTTTTTATATTAAACCTGCCGATTCCCAATACTCAGTTCATGAATTTGAAGCTGCTGAGAGGACTTCCATCCGAATGATGTAATAATGCAGAAGTTATTAACTAATGAGTGCGTGCACCGTTAATCTCTACAGCAGGATATTTAAACACAGCGGCACGTGAATTGGCAGCTGCAAAATGTGTAAACCGTCTTTCTGTGTTGTCGCGAGAGGAGATAAGAGAATTGCTGTCACATCGCCGAGTGCAGCTTGACCGAGGCCTGGGTTTTCAAGATGTGTGCATGCAATAATGAATCGATTAAAATAATTTTCGATTTGCGTTGTAGCCGAAACGTCGTGAGAATTATTTTATTTTATTATGTTTTATTTTTATTATTTTATTACTTCCCTTCTACGTGACTTTACCGAAAGAACCAAGAAGACGATTAAAGTAAATTATTACAATAATGACACCAGCATGCATTACATCCAATCGTACGTAGAAGAATCGATTGTTTGCAATGAATGCTAATTATATACAAAGATTACATTAAAGTTAATGGTCCTAAGAACACTACAAATAAGACCAACAAATGAGAAACAAAGCAGTTCAAATTAAGATGGCAAAGAATTGATTCTTCAATTACATCACGATCACCGGAATAATGACAATTCATCATTTTTTCAGGGTAGGTGAATTGCTACAGGCCTAGTGTGCATGCTCAATTAATGCAAAAAACAGCCTCACCAGCAGCACAGACCCATTTTTCCGGTAGTCTTTCATCTCAAGGTGGCCTTAGGCTAAGGGGTTATTGTCAAAGGACCTCCACTCAAATATATATCTGGACTTCATTTTGGTGGACTCACCCTTGACGAAGAGCTGCGCTGGTTTACTCTCCCGCACGCCAACCGAGTTTGTGGCCACGCACACGTACTCCCCTCCATCGCTCCTCCGCACCTCGGAGATGCTCAGACGCCCGCCATTTATCTGGCACAATGGGATAAATGAAAGAAAGGAATGGGCAAACTTAATTATTTCTAAGTGGGGGAACACCGCAATGAGATGCGACGTCTCATTTTTTCAAATTAGCCCGGCAAATCAGATGAAGGACACTCAGACGGGGCACATTTCGCACGGCGGACAGCTTGGACTGAAACAAACGATGTTGCACACGAGGCGGGGGGTGGTGGCGGTGACGGGGGTGCTGAGGCTGCCGTGTTGCCACGGATTTTTGCGGACGCACGCCGATTAGCCGCTCGGCGCACGGCTCCGCTCGCTCGGCACGGATTCTGCTTCTTGGCTTCGCCTGTTTTCGCCGTGGTTCTCGGTTCCAGCTGCCGCGCGGCATTAAACCAGACGCGGACTCCCCCGCCTCTGGTGGGTGGCTTTCCGCTTGACAAACATTGATTTTATATCTCGCCAAACGAGACACAAAGGAACCGGTGCCGCGGCTAAACCGTGGCAGCGCGTGCGGTAACACGGAAAGTCCCTCATCGGCAGTTGTCTCCACATCCCTGGGAGACCGAAGCCCTTTCACTGAGCCCGCCAGCACGATCGGCTTTAATCCCCCCCCCCCCTCCTCCTCCGTCACACACGACGACGGTGTACTTCAGGCTGCTCTTTGGAAAGCAGGCGGCGGACGCAGATAAGGAGTATGAGCCACCAGGGGTTTTCATGCATCTCATTAGGAGAAAGAAAAAAAACCTAAACATACACAGCAAAACAGTTGGAAAACTTCCATTTAACCTCAGCCATCCTCCTTCCTGCCTCGCTGGTGATTTAGGTCCAGATGGTAACCGGAGAAGATTTGGCGGTGGTGGCTGGGTGGGGGAGGAGGAGGACAAAACGGGAAGATGAAAGGGATTATTTAATCATGGTTCCGGGGCTTTGATAGTTTATATTGGGGGGTTCGGCCGCATCCCACGCGTTTACACGGGGGGGGGGGGGAGGAAAAGGGGCGGCGGAGAGAGGCGTCCTGGGTGCCCTCGCGCGCGAAAAAACAAAAAAAATGTAATTCTTACGAAACGAACATAAAAACGTTGCTGTGTTTCTACCGCGAGCGTGGGGCCCCGCGGAAAAAACGAGGAAACGAGGAAGCACAAAGAAAAAAGGTGGATGCTACGGTTGGCGTCGCCACAAACGTAACTGCGCCAATCAGCCTCCAGGGTCGGTGAGATCAGCAGCTTTGAGCAGGAAACAGGATCTAAATGTTAACATTCGGAGTCCATTTTTGCCCCCCCCCCCCCCCCCCGACTGCCTCCTCCCCCTCATTTTAGATTGTAAATCTACAGGGTAGAACAGATCAAGATGCAGCTGCTGGCCACAAAAGCAACTCGATACTGCAGAAAAGCACGGTTGTATCCAAAGGGCATCCATATTAAACGCAACAAGCGCGGCACTTCCCATCGCCCCTACAGGTGAGCGTTTACTGCAGTCCTCATTCCACTGCCTCCCCCACTCCCCTCCAACTCCGGCAAACCCCCATCCATCCTCCTACACCCCCCCACCCACACACACAACCACCACCCCCCACCACTCCCAACCCCGTCGAAAAACGTTACCCAAAAGGCACTGATGTCAGGGATCACTGCCAGCTCATTTGTTTTAGAACTGCTCCTAAAAAGGAGAGGGGGGGGGAGAAAATGTGCGTTTTCGGGTCACTTCTGTGTCAGCACACAGGAGTGCTTCTCCCCGAACCACGTGGCGCTGTGGGCGTACGCATGCAGTCGGTGCCGGCGAGTAACAAAGATTCCCATCTGGGACCCACTGCCCAGAGCTCTGATTGCTGCCAGACTGGGGAATAAACCAACTTATGAACGAGAACTGGAGAGAGAGAGAGAGAGAAGGAGAGAGGGGAGCATATGAGAGGGTGACTTGCAGAGCGAATGAGAGCGAGCGAGCGTGAATGAGCGAGCAAACGAGAGTGCCACAGAGAGGAGGACTGTATTATGCTAAACCGGCCTGTCACATTCGGAATATCCAATTACCGGATATAACTAATACTACATACCCCATAACCTAACGACCACCAGAATACAAATGATACATTATTGCGCCGTTGCCTCGTTTGTGTGGCTTTGTGACATTTGATTAAACGTAACCCCGCTATAAAAAAAAAATCCCGCAACAATCACTTCTTTATTTGGTTCCTTTAATCAACAGTTGGAATTTAGCGCTTGTTTATGTAGAACAGTTCTGATGGGTTAACAGTACATGCCACCATATAAATAAAAATATATGTTACACTCAATTAAAATTCATGAGGTAATGTTTCTGCAGCTCCCCCAAACCAAACAGTGAATGCAGTCATAGTCCAGGGCAGGTGAAGGCACATATGCTGCTCCAACCTTTCGCGTAACTTTCGCAACAGATTTTCGTCATAGAAGCTCACGTGAGCAAATCCCAGCCATTGTTCAACAGACGTGAAACTTCCTAACTCAGGAGTAACAAAACTACGCAAGATTCACGCGAATCGCAGCTGCTGCTGCTGCTGGCGGTGGCACTAACTCGCACGGCTCATGACAGGTACAGGACATCCACCAGGCCCACGCCTGGGGTCACAGGTCACTTCCTGCGGAGAATGCCCCCCAAGAGGTTTCATTTAAGTCCACGCCGGGCATCCCACCGGCCAGACCAAAGAGCCACATTTACAGCCCTGTGAGTTTGTCCAAAAAAAAACACCGCTCCTTTCCGCGCGTTTTCAACACAAGAAACAAAAAGGCATTCAAGGGTGACCATCGATCATGTACCGGGCGAAACGATGCACTGTTCATAAAGTCAGTAAGCTGTGCCCTCTCGTGAAAGAAAAAAAAACACGTAACCTTTTTTACGTGCTTGTAATGAACGGAGCACTGCCTCTCAGCTTTTTCCTCCGCTTGGCGAAGCTCGAAAAATGGATTCGGTTCAGTTCGCTTATAAGGTGTGGCGGTGATTTCGTAGGCTCGTACGAGTCGCTGCCTCTGTAACTGCCGACCTCTCCACTTATAGGGGTCAGCGTTTACAGGAATGATGTGGGAGAAAAAGGGGATGTCTCCAGGCTAGGCTCGTCGAGTCGGTTACAAACCAAAGGGACACATAAGGGGACGCTTTGTGCCACGCAAAATGGCTCGCTTGGATTTCCACCAATTAGAAAAATCAAGACAAAGTTGCTCATTAATCTTTGTCACCGTCAACAGCCGAGTATCCGTCTGTTGCTTTCCAAGCCAATGTCGCACGGCCACTGCTCTCAAGATTAGTCACGAGTCCAGGGACGCTGCCATGGTGTAAATGGTTGGCACACTGGATTGCAATCCGGAGGTCTCTGGTTTGATCTCCCGGCACGGCAGTTGAAACAATTGTCAAAGTGTCCTAAATCTCTCCACCTAACCCAGCAGTATGATTGGGTACAAAACTAAAAAAACTAAGCTATTTTTATTTTACCAGGTAAGGCCCAATGAGCTAGAGGTTTTTTTTTTTCCAGAAGCGACCTGGCCACAAACGATAGCTCAACAAGGTGGCTTATCAAGTGGAAATTTATGGCAGCTTAAACACGTTTCTAAATGTGGAGAGAAAAATCAGAGGGCTCGGAAAAAAATTCACGCGACCACAGCGAGGACATGCAAACTCCAAATTGACAGGCGTCAGGGTCGGGGTCAAACCCACGACTTCCTGGAAACCAGGCGAGGTAGTGAACATCTCGCCACCACAGTGCCCTAACTACAGTTAGGTGATCGGGGCAGGTGGCTGTGCAGGGGTAAGAATCATACTCTTTATTATTTATACTGACCAGTGTGAAAGAGTAGGCCAAAATACCCTCTGGAGGGGACTCTCTGGAGCTCCCTCGAGTGGAGGCCCTTCCGCCCGCAGTGATGTGAGCAAGCAATTGCAGGGCTACGCCTCTAGCTTCAGCACTCGTGATCAATCTCTCACTCGCGCACTCGCGCGCCCGTGCGTGTCGTCACGCGGCCGCCAGAGTTTTGATCCGCAGCTGTGTTATTTTTCTCTCGCAATCAGAGCCCTCGCTGTACGGGGGCGGCCCACTCGCCGCAGCCGCTCCGGGGGGGCGAACGCCGCGGGAAGTGCGCCGTCGCCGAGGATTAATAACCACCTGGCCTGGAAATGAAACGCCGGTCCCCTCGTGCCGTTTCGGGCAAAGGGGAAGAGGAGCCGCCAACTGATTCACGCGAGATCTGTCGGGCTCCATCAGTCGAAGTTGGGTGGAAGTGACGCCTGTGGAAACTTGTTCCGCAACAAAAAACACTAAACTATGAACAATTTTACATTTTACCAGATAAGACCCACTGAGTTGTATAGTTCTTTTTTAGAAGCGACCTGGCTATCACCAATGATAGTTCAAAGAAGTGGCTCTTCACGTGGAAATGTATTGCGGCCAAATACTCTAAACGGCATGTTGTTTCTAAATGCCGAGGTGAAAAACTGGAGGGCCCCGTCGAAAAATCCACGAAACCACACCGAGAGAGAACAAGTCAACTCCAAATATACAGCAGCAGGCGTCAGGGTGGGGATCGAACCCACGACCTCCTGCATACCAGGCGAGGTAGTTAACACCTCGCCGAGTGTGCGCCCAGAGCCGCCGTCGCGGGAGAGCGTTTTTCATCGGCGGCGCTCGCTTGAACGCCATCACGCGGCGAGGGTCCGCGAGGCGTGCGGCGCACCACGACGCGTTCGCAAGGAAGCCGCGCCCCGCTCTGCTGAACCGCGTAGCGTGGGCTGTTACCATCGGGCCGACCGAAGCCTGTTTCCAACGAGGACTCGACTTGTTTGGGAAGTGCATGCATTCCCATAAGCGCTCGGTTGTTTGGTCATGACCTGGCGCACAATGGGCCTACTTCAACGAAGCATTGCGGCGGGTGTCTTCGGCGTCCATTACCGAGGGCGAGGAGAGAGGGGGAGGAAGAGGGAGTAAAAAAAACCCGTCCAAAACCCCCGCGTGTTTTTTTTTTCGAGAGACAGCACGCTCCGCGGTGCTTTACGCATCACGAAGCATC